TGAACACATTGAGTGAAGATGACTCAAGTTAGTTAAAATGAATGGTCAAGCCTTCTTTTGAGGGGAGATAAAAAAGAAGATTTGAACCTTAAAAGCATCTTTTAAAATTTTTCTCAAGAAACCGCTGGGACAGAAAAATGACAGAAAAAATGAGACTAAAGGAAAGCTTAATTACATAGAGTAGATTTAAGTTTGTTCAAATCAACAACCCCGGAGGTAGGGTGGAGCCACAATATTGACGATCAAAGTTTAACATAGGAGTATGTAGGAAAAATCTTCAAAAATCTTCTTCTCAAGAACAGCAACGCCATTATTGGTCATATTTATATGGAAGCATTCTCAAGTGGTGTAAATTCAAGTTTGTTCAAATCATGACCCCCGGGGGTAGGGTGAGGCCACAGTAGGCAATCAAAGTTTTACACAGAAATACATAGGAGAAATCTTCAAGAGTCTTCTTTTCAAGAACAGCAACACTATGATTGGTCATATTTATATGGAAGCATTCTCAGATAGTGTAGATTCAAGTTTGTTCAAATCTTGACCCCCGGGGGTAGGGTGGGGCCACAGTAGGCAGTCAAAGTTTTACACAGAAATACATTGGGGAAATCTTCAAAAATCTTTTCGAGAACAGCAACGCTATGATTGGTCATATGTATATGGAAGCATGCCCAGGTGGTGTAGATTCATATTTGTTAAAATCATTTCCCCCGGAGGTAGGGTTGGGCCACAAAGGATGATCAAAGTTTTACATAGGATTATAAAGGAAAAACCTTTTAAAATCTTCTCAAGAACAGCAAAGCCATGGTTAGTCATATTTATATGGAAGCACATCCTCAGATAGTGTAGATTCATGTTTGTTCAAATCATAACCACCGGGGGTAGAGTGGGGCCACAATGAAAGTTCAAAAAGGAAAAAAGTCACAGTCCAAAAAATATGTAAGCATCCTTAGTTAGCTATATATAGTGTACATTCAATTATTCCATTAATGAAGATATTAATTTTTCGCTATTTCGTAATTATCTCCCCTTGGAGGAGGGCGTGGCCCTTCATTTGAATAAACTTGAATTCCCTTTACCCAAGGGTACTCTGTGCCAAGTTTGGTTGAAATTGGCCCAGTACTTCTGGAGAAGATGAAATTGTGAAAAGTTTACGACAACGACGATGACAGACAAACGGACAAATTTTGATCAGAAAAGCTCACTTAAGCCTTCGGCTCAGGTGAGCTAAATATCAAATTAGTTCAAATCATGACCTCGGAGATAGGGTGTGGACACAATGAGCGGTCAAATTATTTTACAGGAATACATAAGAAATGTCTTTAAAAGTCTTATCAAGAACAGCAGATTAAAGCCATATGTCATATTTATGAGGAAGCTGCCTCGAATAGTGTAAATTCAAATAATTTCAAAACATGACCCCGGCGTTAGAGTGGGATCATAATAAGCAAACAAAATTTTACATAGGAATAAATTGGAAAAAATCTTGAAGTTCTCAAAAACAGTAAAGCCGGTTGTGGCGCGTAGACGTCTTGTTGTTTTTATTTTATTTTTTTCTTGGGTTATTTTTCGTTTGTTAGTTTCCTTTGTTTAATTGTGCTTTTCAAACACTTGGAATTACTTGTTTTTGTATTGTATCCAATACTTACGGTTTATATTGTATTCAGAATATACCATATTTTAAGTATATGTTATAGGAGTTGACTTCGGAACATTAAAAATATTGTAGGTTTGTTTCATCTTAAAATACTTTGGGAATGTTGCTGTTTTTAAAATCTGTTTCGATGTTCAATTTAAATAAATAGGTATATCGAAAAGCAGAATTTGTTCTTGTGTTTATTTTACACATGGAAATGTTTGAAATAATTTGTATCAATGAAATCTCTATAAAATCTCTGTTTTGACTTCCATTAAAATGATCTCACACTTAAAAATGAGATTAAAATGAAAGATATTTTGGATCTGCAAAGTTTAATTTTTTATCGCAATATACAGGTCTTTACGAAATCTTAAAAACAGTAAACCACTTCACTGAGAATCTAAGCAGAGACATAAGTACCAAGGGTAAAGCTCGGTCACAAAATAGGAGAAAATCTCTGTTACATGTTTTATGGACGTTAGTTTGTAAAATGTGAGGGCAAAATTTTGAAGTGCGTAATGAGATTACTCATCATATTGAAAATAAATTGTTTATTCTTACAACAAGAGAAGATTAACGTCTCCTGTAATATTTAAGTTAATTTGTGCCGAGTAAGATTCCATAATATTGTTGTCTATGTCCACTTCATGTGCAATTGTCTTTTCTAACGAGTTGTTGAGTTCGTACATCTATACTTACTAGGAACAAGCGTTCGATGGCGTAATCTTTTTTCCATCACAATCAAGATCCACTCGTAATCTTCTTCAAAAATACTTCCTACAGTCACTGTTGTTGAGTACACTTCCGGTAGATGAGAAGGTCGGGTTCGGATTTCTTAAAAAGATACGGGAAAAAACAGAGAAAACTTATTCTATCACTTAACTGAAATTGAGATAATTTGTTAATTTCCGTCGTTGTCTGAAGATTTTTCATCGACTTTAGAAACTTGAAAATGACTAATTAATTTGAGTTGATTGTTTTCCCTCTTCGTTTCGAGGCAATTAGAAAAACGGACAAATTTTTACATATATTCTTCCTTACTATAAAACAATGTATTATCCTTTAATAATTTTTTTGACATCTTTAAAATCTTCGAAAATTGACAGTGCGTCAATATATTGATGATGCACGGGGTCCGTACATGGCTTCCGGTGACCAATGTCATCTTCCGTTACATCTACATGTCATAGTGTGAGAAATAAAGATTACCCTATCATTACACACTAGGGACATTTGAACTACATACACATAAGGTAAATTTTCTTGAATATATTGATCTATGAAACGTTATTTGATTCGCCATGTCGTGAAATGAGGTAATAATTAATAATTATTAAGGAAATGCATATGTAAGCAAATTGTTTAATTGACGTATTTAAAAATTTCCAAGTAAGAAATATACTAGCAGAAATAAGTTTTATTGTGTGGAAGTCTACAGATAGCCTATTATGAAGATTGACAGATTATAAAACTGCTTGTACCTTCCATGATCCTCAGTGTAGAAATGAGAGAGAGAGAGTGTGTGTCATTGGTTTTATTGTCTTACAAATGCAATACATTCGTACATGTAAAACTCAATAAACGTTGTCTTACTTTAGATGACTGTACAATAATTAAACCACTGAAAATTAAAATTTATCCAAAATATGAATTGTTTATTCGTTGCTCATTCCTGAAACAGAGAAAGTGTTCGGCAATTTGAGCTTATCATTCATTACACACATTTCACATACAGTATTTCTTTAAACGTCGAAGATATATATAATATACCTTTGATTAAAGTAACTCGTATTACATAAATTAACTTGTAATATAGTGACCTACAATATACTTTTAAAAATAATTCTTTTTGTAGCATGCTACGGACAGCGATGCAGAAAACATTATCATCCGGGTCCTTTGTGATTTACATGCTTCTGACTGAACAAGTTATTTCTTATGGTATGATTTAAATCTATTTATAGAAAGAAAATTGTGTAATTTACTAAAGGTAGAAAGAATGTGTCTATACAAGATAAAGGCAAGTATTCGAAATGTTTATGATTATGAAAAATAATATTGTAGCTGTCTAAATCAAAAGACAAAAGTGAAATTTTGTGATTGATGTTTGTCCATTTAACGTCTCTCTGTTAACTTGTCAAAACTTACTTCTTCTTTAGAACAACTGAATAAATTTCAAGTCAACAAGCGACGAGGGTTTAAATTTGTTCCATTTAAGGATAAATAACACAAACAAACTTTTTTTTTCAGAAATCAGCAATATTTCTCATAGATTTATATTCCAAAAGGTAACTTGAATAATGCTTGTCATGTAAATTGGAAGAATTTTTTAAGTTTTTGTCACAAGATTAAAAATATGCGCCAAATTTTGTAAAGAATTACATAGAATACCATACCAAGTCGCAAATCTAAGCACCAAAGAAAACTTACGATTTCTTTATATTTTAGAGATTTATTATTTATGACATTTTTATTCAAAATCAGTCAAAATATATATATATATCAACCCATGCATCAGATTTTTGTTTGTGTTATGTATCCTTAAAAGCAAATACCCTCTTTTAGGTGAAAAAAAAAAAAAAAAAAAAAACAAGGGATGATTTTTGAAAAAAAATAGAATCAATAAAACACAATAACAAAAATAATTTTAAACTTAAAAAATGTTTAAGAATCTTGAGTATCAATGTACGCTTTAAGAAATATATTGGGAAAAAATCCTGAAAGAATAACGTGAACTTATGTGTTAAAAATTTATATTTTGAAACCACGGTGCTTGAGGCTGCAAATGCTTTTAACAGCGGACTGAAGAACACTGAGAGACATTTATATACATGTAGGACTGGGTCCTTCAAATCATCTTGACAATGTCAAGAATAGCGTTAAATCTTACTTACATTTATAAATAACCACTTATCCTCATGAAGTTGATATTCAGGTTTGTTCTAATTATGACGTTAAAAGGTCAGGACGGGACCGTAAGGACCAAAGGTTTCTTTCAAAAACATTATAAGATTTATTTCGCACACAAAGACAAGACCATATTCACTCAAATTAATTTGTAAGCATACCCCTAACATTTCCTTAAGACCCCCATCCCCGATGTACACTAGGTGGAACAATAATGGGTTCTAATTTGTTCCAAGTGATTCTTTTTTTTTCTTTGGCAACCAGCCACAAGTCTGTGTAAATTAAATTTCAGCAATTTTACATTAATTTATTTTTATGTGAATTAACTGCAACAAAACGAGTTTTCAGTAACACACTCCAGGACAGAAACGAGCGTTAATCAATATCCTTGAGCCCCGACCTAGCTTGCTTTCAATGTTCAACCTGTAAGTTTGATATTTTCTATTCAATTTTAAAGATCCCCTTGTGATCCCAAACTTCACAGGAGCTACACTCAGCTCTACCCTCCCGGGGGGATATGAAGCATTTAGAGCTGTAGACGGTCGAGCTGATTTGTTACAGGCGACACCTGGTGGATCCTGTTCTCACTCTGCCACTGAACAAAGATCAGCTTGGCTCAGGATTGACCTGCGCAGAGTTTACAGTTTGTACCAAGTCCAGACCTGGTACCGAAACGACAGTAAGTTTGGCGGAAAGTTTGAACTTACTGTGGTAAATAACTTCGAGGTTTGGTTGTATGTTTTATATGTATAATTTGAAGCTTCTTTTTTAGTAAATAAAAGAAACGAATGTGTTTATTTGATTTCCATTTCGTAAAAAATGTTCTTCGTATCACTAATGCAGTTTCTTACGAATTAAATATTGCTCATGTATTTGAATGAAATATTAAGCATTTTTTCGATTTTTTTTAATATAAAAAGAATAAACAAAGGCAGTGGGTTAAAAATAGGATCTTCATTTTGTAGCCAATGTAATTATCGCTGTTAAATCATACTCAATGTGCAGTTGTTGAAATAGACCATCAACAACAAATTATCTTGGAATGGAGTTTCATTTCATAAACAAAGTGTTATGTATAATTTATGCTTGTACTAATACCTACGTGTGCTTTTATCATTCCATAAAGCATATATACATATCTTCTTGAAACAGTTTATGGACCACTCTCTTCTGCATACTTTCTTCAGTTTTTAACCTGGAACTAATACAGTTTTGGTGACAATGAATAGGAATGGGAATGTCTTCAAGGAATATAAAAAGGTTCTCATCCCCGGCCTTCCCACTTTAAGATCAATTAGTTTGCAGTGAAAATAAGAAAGTCATACCCCGGTAGTTAAAAAGCCTAGTCTTGACAAGATTGCACCTGTTATGAACAAAGCGCAATGAAGTCATTCAAACAAACCTAAGATACACAGGGTATTTTTTAAGTAAATATGAAATAATGTATTTTTATAATTTTACTAAACAGTATTTTACATATGTAAGAATTCATGACTCTTCTTAAGATTTAGGGAATAACCATCTTCTAATTTGGTATTTGCGACCGTTAATGCTGATTTAACGGTCGCAAACTGAAGTTTACCGGCGACTTGTAAGCGGAGCCGGTAAAACGGATGTTTGTGACCGTTAAATCAGCATTAACTGTCGCAAATACCAAATTAGAAAATAGTAATTCCCTAATTTACAAAACAATTGCATTAGAATATAATTTACTTGACATGTATTTGATTACTTTACAGGAGGATCACCTCAGACAAATACTGAACGATTTCAAGGATATAGCATAAGAGTATCCAACGACACGTCCCTAATACCTCAACAAGTCTGTTTCCAACATGTCCCCAGTGCAATACCAATCCCGATCCCGACGTCTAATAATTGTACGCAAGTCGCCAGGTATGTCTGGTTCTATAAAGATAACCCTCCAGTTCCATCGGACAGGGGCAACATCTTTCTGGAGATTTGTGAAGTTCAGATTATTGGTATGTGCTTTATAATAGCTACAATTCTTTTAGTCTTTACTGAGTAATAATTGTGCATGTAAATATGACATATTGATCTTATAATGTATACCCGAAGAATATTTGTATAGTTTCTAATACAAATTATTGTGTTCATTTTAATTAAGCAAAATGAATACTGTTATCTGCGACTGAAGTAATACTTTTGTAATAAGTATAACATCTATGATCATGATTATTATTTAATGATGATAAATATTGTACCTCTGCTTTCAGGTTGTGAACTCAACCAATACGGTGAAAATTGCACGGAATGTGGTATCGGATGTAGAACTTGTGACATCACTTCCGGATGCGTAAACTGTCTGCCGGGTCACTTGTACCCAGACTGTGGTAAATTATAAAATTTCTTTTGACAATGGAACGATATCACACAAGGATTAACAGTACCAGAGGTGTTAGACTGCATTCCAGCAACAATGACTTCTACCTATTTTTGTACTACCAACTTTTTAAATTCTTAAACTGAACTAGTCTTGTAGTTCGCCGGGTAGTTTACCAAGCCTTAGTTGACGTTAAAAGTGTTAAATTTCCTACAGAGCGGTTGCGTTATGAAATAACAGTCGGTTCAGATACAATCATGTATCTCAGGTCTTGTAAAAAGAGGAATTATTATCATTACAAAATGACTTCTTTTTTTCAATTCTTAAGTAACTGATGTACGATAAATATGACATGTTTTACGATGTTTCCGTTGGGGCGAGCGCAGATTTACACAGCTTACGCTTGTAACTTTGACCTTAAACTGCACAAGACACAGCCTAGACTGTAACGTCACAAGACGTTGTATGTATGTTGCATTTCCAAAACGGAGTCTAAATAGCTAAGTGCAAGTTTTTAACGAAAGACATTGTAGAGTAGATGCAACCATTTTTTGTTTCTTTTAAGTTTTCTGCAAGAACTAAATATAGTCTCCATTATCGCATGGAATCCTGGTAGCAAAGGAATTCTGGGAAGGTTTCACACACAAAAAAATTGCTTGGAATAAACACATTTCGATTCGATTTTTTTCTGCTCTTACACGTTAGTCTATTGAGCTCGCTGCACTCGCAAGAAACCAAAGTCCAGGCGCGGAGTCACGACAGGTGTTGACATGCTAAAGAACCCTTACTGCTTAATGGCCCTGAGTGCCGAGTAAAGGTCTAAATATTAAGCCCTTCGTTAGTATCAGCAATATTTCGTTGTCACTGTTGATTCTTACGTATCCTTCATATGAGTATCTACCTATGCCTGATTTCTTTGTTTTTCAGAATGCCCATTTGGGAAGTACGGACGAGGCTGTACACAGAACTGTAGTGGAAACTGCGCCAATAACGAGAACTGTGATATAAAGACAGGGGAATGTAGAAACGGATGTCTGCCGGGGTATCTGTGGAACGCCTGTAATCAAAGTCAGTATAATATTGGGGATGATAATTAAGAAATCAAGTAAATGCGACTATTTGTTGAGATATCTTGGAAACTCTATATATAATGTCAGTGAGTGGAATAATAAACAACGGAATGTAGAACGAGCTTGTTTCCAGAATATATGGAAAAGCTCTGTAATCAAAGAAAGAATTAAATAGAGTACATGTATGTGAAATTAAAAAAAACGGGGAAGGGGAAGGTAATGTAGGAAGGAGAAAGTGGGGCATATACGGAAGAGACTTATCCAAGGAAATGTTTGTAAGGAAAACTCAAGAGACGATGAACACATATATTATAAACGTCCGCTCCCAATACACATTTTTTTGCTACTCTACACCAAAGGTGCTCTGGGGGTGTATCATCTTTCAAACCCCCTCCCATCCACTCCGCAGCTATTTTAGGTAAGTGTTGGTGTATTTTGTTATTCTAGGTTGTATGCCAGGGTTCTATGGAAATATGTGTACAGAAAATTGTAGCGGGAATTGCCTTAATGACGACCCCTGTAACCATAGAGACGGCAGCTGTGACCGAGGCTGCGCTCTTGGGTGGAGAGGATTTCAATGTAATCAAAGTATGTTTTATGTATTCTATCATTAATTCCTATAATGCTAGAACGATACAGATTATTAGATATTTACACATTTTTATTACCGTCTAAAGGATGACCTTTACTCAGGGTTTTAGTTGACAAATACATATTGCTGTAAAGTTTAACGTCTTTAATTAAAAAATTTTCCAGCCGAATATTATCTAAACATGTAATAAATGAATATCAATATCAAAATTTAATATTTTAGTATTTGACGAACATCACGTAAAGATTTATGGTAGTGCAGAGGAAATTCGGATTTAAAAAAAAAAATTGCACATTTTTTTTTTAAAGATGTTTTCGTGACTTTTCGAAGATTTTTTCATTTAGTTTTTTAATTATAATGTTAAAGCTCATGTATTATTTCAGAAGATAGGAAGGCGTACAATGGAGAAAATCTGAAAAATTAACAAAAGCCATTTCAGACAGCATATTTAAAAAAAAAAAGATTTGTGACCATAAATAATCTTCATACCAGCGAAATATTGGCGATACAAGTAAAATAAGGCTGTAAAGAGTTTAGAGTTCTCCTCATACAGTTTTATGTAATATTTGGTTAAAAATGGATTAAATTTAGAAAACTTTTGACAATAAAAATTGGACTGGAATATTGGATCAAGTTTATTGTTCACTCTGTTAAATTTATTATGCACACTTTCCTTATTTCCATTATATGTCACTATTCAAAGCGTTTTATTACTAGATATGTTTTGCTAAGAGAAAAATTCCTGGTTATAGTGTAAAAATTAAAGCATGTTCATGGGGATTTTTCAAAGGATTGTTCAGTGGCTTAAAAATTAGGTCATTGATCTACATATTTGAAAGTACCAAAAGCAACATGGTCCAATCATAGGTCTACAATGTAAAACATGTGGTTTCTCATTCCCACCAGTGGAATTTTCTGCCATCTGAGTAAAAGTCATCCTTAATAGCGAGCGCAGCGAGCTGAATAGACTAACGTGTAAGAACGGAAAATATTCAAATTAAAATCTGTATATTCGTCAACCAAATTTTCCTGTCAAACCTTCCCAGAATTCCTTCGCTACTAAAAATCCCTGCGATAATGGCGAATAAAAAGCTCTGTATTTATCATGTATTTAGAATTAGGTCTTGCAGAGGTCTTAAACGAAACAAAATATAAGTGCATCTACTCTACAACGCCTTCGGTTACAAAATTACAAAAGGCTTATTTAGACTCCATTATGGAAATACATCTTACATACGACGTCATTTGACGTCAAAGTGTAGACAGCTGTCTCGTGCGGTTTGAAGAGGCGGATCAAAGTTTTAAGTGTAAACTATGTAAAGGTTTTTTATGGTATACAACTAGTACTGCGCTCGCCCCAACGGTGGCACCGTTAACATATTATAAAGTAAGGGGTACTTTAAAATACCGAGAGGGAATAATTCAGCTAATCTTTTCATCATCAAATTTATAATCGACGCATGGTAACTATGTGCTGATTGTAGCTAACCCCCCTGTTACTTCCCCTTCCGGTCCTGGACCTTCCGGAAGTACAATAGCTGGGATTACAACAGGGATACTATTTGCTATCATTATCGTTGGTGTTGCTGTAGTCCTTGTTCACAGGTCATTATTTATTTCTTGTCATTTTTTACAGAATAATTAAAAAAAAAACTGTTACTGATTTTTCTTTTATATTTCAAATTCAATGGTCTGTGCTTGTTTGTTTTTGTACCAGTGTTTCCAATTCAGCCATTATCAGAAAATCTGTTCAAAATCGAATTGGCTATTAAACAATTTACGTTTTGTAAAATTGAAAATCTTAATTTTGATTGTATGATTAGTAGAGAAGGCAAAATGTTTAGTTTGCTATGCCAATAGGTCAAAAACAAAACAAATCAAATCAGGAAACTAATGATTACGTCATTGTCTGGTATATCAAGAACAAGCAACACAAAATTGTTTACTTACAAAAAGATCCCGAATGCATTTTTACTCAAAAGATAATCGTATATGAGAATTCATTATTTTTTTCAGGTTTCAGAAAAAGCAAACACCAGAATACAAAGATTTCGTGTATAATCAAAGTATAAAACGAAGTATAAAACGAAGCATTAAACTTAACAGAGGTGGTGAGTGTTAACTTAACAGAGGTGGTGAGTGTTAACTTGATTTCCAGTTTAAAGGTTAATTAATTACTTCATGCCATGACGAAGCGTTCAATTGCCTAGAAAAGCGTTTTTTTTTTCTGAAAATGTCAAAGTGTTTTCAGCAATTCTTGGCTAAGGAAAACGTTGGTCATTCCTAGAAGTGTTTAAGTACTTTATTTGTATAGTTTATACAAAATTTAATACTTTACATATACCCGCACAGTATTTATTTAATCAACAGAGCGTAATTATTCAAAATGTGAAAATTACTAGCAGATATGACTCTCCCAATTTCTAGATCGGACAACATATACGTAATTTTGTTCTAATAGAAAACATGGGCACCGCAAATTGGAGCATATCCATTCGCAAAAGAGCACGTTGATCCCGATATGAATTACATGTAATACTTCTATTATGCACGAACTCACAATCTCAAAAACGCCGTACTTTATCCTCTCTATGCAACTTCGTTACGAGGGGACAAAAATGTTCAAAAGACAAAAAAAAAATCGTTAAATCTACTTGAGAATCTTGCTTATTTCAACATCAAAAGAAATTTTTACGAGCTCAAAAAGATACGCATATCAGTGAAGTGTATTAATTGAACTGTTTTGTTTAATTCATGAACGTCAAACAGATGTTTGTAAGACATAAATCTCATTCTTATAAATGTGGAAGTGCTGAGATATAATTCTGGAGATTGCAGGTGTAAATCATGTGTGAGTTATACCGACATATACACCCATATGTACATGTAAATCTTTTTAACAAATATCAAACAAACCTTGGTTGTTTTATTTTCTGTGTTTCTTTGTTCAGTTACTAACAGTTCTATAAAACTGGTGGATGATTTGTCTGATGAACAGGAAGATCGTCATAGCCAAATCAGTAATGCATCATCCATGTATTATAATACGTCACGTGACTCGTTTTTTCTCGCCTCCAAAAATATAAGAGTCAGCAGTATTTCTACTGTGATAAAAGCCAAATCGAAAGACAGTTTCAGAATATTCCTAAAAGAATTCAAGGTATTGTTCTTATAAATACCATCATATATATATAATTTTTTTTATTCTGCATATAAATCGCAGTGCGCCTAGGCACAAGTACATGTATCATCTTTAGTGGGTATTTCGCTCTTTTTAAAACAAATGGTTTGACTAACGTGCTAGAACAAATATGTTTAATAAATATTTGCAACAATTGAACAGGATATACCATATGGAGAACAAAGTAGTATAGCCTGCACAGTCGCCAAGGAACCCCAGAACAAATCAAGAAACAGGTTCAAAACAACATTTCCATGTAAGGGTTATTTCCATACTTTTCAGTACTTAAATAAGAGATAATCTGCCAAAAGGCCATCTTATTCAAAGAAAAAAAAAGAGATTAAAAACTAAAAACTCACCATTTTTGAAAATTTTGAATAAGTTTTGCTTTTGAAATAATTTTGAAAATAAAACCAATACCCATCTTATTTGTTTTTTAATAAATTTGTACTACATATATCAACTCTTTAAACATATTTATCATATAGTAATCAAGATATTTTAAAATCTAAATCTGTTCACAGTGTATGGTTTTGGGACTTGTTCTGAAAAAGAAGCTGAACAAGTCTAACTTCTCTCATAATATGTTATCCTATCATGAAACTATTAAAGGTATTTTGCTTTTAAAATGTTTTTATCAATGTAGATGACCATTCCCGAGTGATTCTGCAGTCAAATGAGAACGACTATATCAACGCTAACTTTATAAGGGTAATAAATAAATGGATTTGCCAGAAACATATAAGGTCAAATTAATATCAGTCTGAATCATTATATATGTGTAAACTCCCTTACCCTTGACCTATGAACTTATACTGACTATTCCTAGATTTATATGTCGACCATGACCCATGTTTTGATTTTAATTGATCAGTTTTCGAAAGTGTTCGCTTTTCAGAATTAGTTACCAACTTTTGATCTCAATTTGACAAATACATTATAAAGGCTAATGCCTTATCTTTTTATCCTGTCCGTTTCCCCGTCTATTTTGTTGTTTGTATCCCGTGTTATTTGTCATTTGTATCCAGTCTACTTTGTTATTTGTATCCCTTGTAATTTGTTATTTGTATCCAGTGTAATTTGTTATTTATATCCCGTGTAATCTGTTATTTGTATCCCGTGTAATTTGTTATTTATATCCCGTGTAATCTGTTATTTGTATCCCGTGTAATTTGTTATTTATATCCCGTGTAATCTGTTATTTGTATCCCGTGTAATCTGTTATTTATATCCCGTGTAATCTGTTATTTGTATCCCGTGTAATCTGTTATTTATATCCCGTGTAATCTGTTTTTTGTATCCCGTGTAATTTGCCATTTGTATCCTTTTTTAGGACCTAGAAGGGGATAGAAAATATATAGCCTCCCAAGGTAAAGCCTTAACATAGTCCTTCTCTATATTCCATCAATGTCAAATGTAAGACACTTTGTCACTTGCTTTCTCCCTATTTATTCCGAAGCCTTTATTTCAAAACTATTTGAGCTATCGGAGATACATGTACCAGTTTTTGTTTTCAGTGGAGATATCAGAATGTATACCTACTACAGTAACTCTTCTTCTTGTATTGAGGAAAAAGTTTCCCATCTATTTTCATTGAGTTCAATTATTGAGCAAGCTAAAATGTCAAACTAACATGATGCATAGAGTTCTTTCGAGTCTTGCTACAATTATGTATTAATTTGTTAATTAGGAGAGAATTAAAAGCGTATTGTGTTTCCTGCAGGCCCCAAACCAAATACATTGTCGGATCATTGGTTGATGATCTGGCAGGAGAACGTTAACGTCATCATCATGCTTACAAATTTAGTGGAGGGAAGCAAGGTAACTTTTCAATAAAAAAGCAACAAAAAATCATTCAACAGTATATAATATCTGAAAAAATGTAGAACGTGGACAATTTGCAAAATGAATGGGGTTCTTAGAACGTAGAATTTAAAAAAAAAACTTGTTCTGATTTCCCAAGTGCTTACATACATAATTTCATCAAATAAAAAGGCAGTCTTCAGGACCCTTGTTTGGGCAGCTTTATGCCTTATTTTCACATAATAAGTGCATATATTTAGAGTCCTGTTTAATTTCACGATTATGTGGACCTATTAAATGTAGGTGACAAAAAGCCAATAGGCTAAAGGTTTCTTGAAATTTAGGCGACAAAAAGCCAATAAGCTACAGGCTTGAGATTTCTGAGAAAATTAAGGTGACAAATAGCCAATTGGCTACAGCTTGAGGTTTCTTAGAAAATGTAGGTGACAAAAAGCCAAAGGGCCTTAGGCTTGAGGTTTTTTTTTCTTGCTTTCAGTGGACTCACTTAAGTTCTCTTCACCTGGATATGTTATAATGTCTTTGCAGAAGAAATGTGGACAATACTGGCCAGACTCAGAAGAAGAGGAGATGACGTACGGAGACATATCTGTACGCTTATTGAAAGAGAAGCATTATGCATATTACGTCATCCGACACCTTCAAGCACGACGAAATTCAGTATGTACTCTTTGCATTTATATGTATTTTATCTTTTTTGCATTCAGTACATGTATATATACCAAATAGATATTAAATCATCATAGGGCAGAACATACTCTTTACATGTACTTAAAGATTGAAACAGAAATCTTCAACAGTCGCTCCGTCTATATGTCCAATTATCTTATTTGAGTTGTTAAGTTCCTTCCCTTTGTCTTTAATTTGTGAAGAAGCTAAAGATCATTAATTTCCTTTATCTTTTTTATCTACGAAGATGTCAGTAAAAGGTAATGTGTCAATAAATGTTTATATTAGTATATTCAGTGTTATTTTATGACAAACACCACGTAGAAAACTTAGAAACTTAGGTACTTAAAAGATAGGAAGCAAGTAAGTGTTGGAATCATTTACATGATGTGTCATGATTTTAATGATTTTTAGGTCACCTGAGTCACTCAGGTCGCCTATTGCTTTCTGTTTTCTTCCGTCGTCGTATTTTTTTCATTATTTCTTTGAAAATCTTCTTCTCTACTCCTGGATTTTATTTCAACAAATTAAATACATAGTTATGATAAGCAAGGGTGTTTCTTCCAAAATTGTGAATTTCATGGCCCCTGGATCAGGGGTTCTGGTGTTAGGGCGGGGCTCTATTTATTATATAGTGAAAATGCATTAATGCTTTAAAAATCTTCTCTGCTCCTGGGTATTATTTAAACAAACTAAGTACATTGTTATGATACACAAGGATGTCTCTTCCAAAATTGTGAATTTCATGGCCCCAGGGTCAAGGGTTCTGGTGAAAAGGGGGGGGGGTCTCTATTGATTATATCGTGAAAAAGCAAAATTTCTTTGAAAACATTCTTTTCTGCTTCTGGTTATAAAGCAAAGAAGCTAAGTGTATAGTTATGATGAGAAAGAGTGCTTCTTCCAGAGTAGTGAATTGCATAACCCCTAGGTCAGACGTGCTGGTGTGAGGGTGGGGCTCTTGATAATATAGTGAAAATGCATTTAAAGTTAATTCTATTAAATAATCCTGTCTGCCCCTTAGTGTTAAGCAGATAAACAAAGTGATTACTTATTATGAGCAAACTTCTGGTTCCAGGGTGAGAGGCTCTGGTGTTTCTCGGTGGGGAGGGGGGGGGGGGTTGTTCTATTGATAATATAGTGAATCTGTAGTAAAATTGCATTATTTCTTTAAAAATCTTCTCTGCACCTGGGCATATCAGACGCAAGAAAGAGTAAAAGTTTTAATAAGGAAGGGTATTTTTACCAGATTTTTGAACATCTGGACCATTTGGTCAAGTGTTCTGGTCCTGGCCAGGGCTCTATTAATTTGTATTCTACTGAGAGGAGTTATTCCCCTTTGCCATTTACATTTGATAATTAATCACTGTAAATAATGTACTTGAAATTAAGGTTAATAGAATAAGAGAATTATGCAAGAATTTTTATTGTATAATACAAAAAGTACTTTCATAGTTTTAATGATCAGGTAGACTTATAAGTAAGAGATAAATAAAAATGAGACAAAAATAACTTGTCTTATTAAATGTTCATCAAAGATCAAGAGAGGCCAATGTAAGAGATTTCAACAAGGAATTAAAATAGTACAGAAACACTGATAGTTTGTTAATATACTGTATGGTGATAGTGATAAATGGGGAACAGATTAGAACCTAATTTATGAACTGTTAATGAATACTAGACTAAGTAAAGGAGAAAGGCCAAAAACTGTCCATTCTGTGAGAGAAAGAACTAATCGAGGGCCATAGGCTACTTAAAACATGATTTCCTTTGTTCTGAAAATGAAATAAAAAAATTACAAAACTGGTTGCAGATATGACAGGTAGCACACATACAATGACAAATTCATTGTTTACAGAATGGACAGTCATAGGTAAGCTAGGGATGCAGAGCAATTTGTTGAATAGCCATTGTGTTTCGGGCAGATGCAAATAACAAAAGGTCTTTGTCTTAAGAATGGACAGATACGGGTGGATTTTGGGGGATACTAGTATTTATACAAGTATGCCATGCTTCAAAATCAGTTTATAGTTTACGTTGTAAAGGCATACATGTCTTCCTCTGATGGAGAGAGTATATGACAGAATCAAAATCTAATAAACCAAAATATGCATAAAATTGGTGATATTTGGAAACATGCAGAAGAGTAAAAGTAAAAGAAATATTAGCCAAACTTTGACCCAAAAGTGAACTTCTCCAACAGATACAGATAATCAAATTTGAATCAAACCTGGAAATGTTTTATTTGAATTCTATTTTTGAGGATATATTAACTGCAGCTGTGTACTGGTGAAATGCATATTGTGTTCTGAATGTTGGGTTAGCCATGAGCCAATCTTTGACCTGAAAATGTTTTACAAATCAAATCTGGAGATGTTTCATTTTTAATTATTTTCTACGGAAATATAAACTGCAGCAGTGAAGTGTTCATGGAGCAAACTGTTTTCTGGGTGGAGGATTTAATATTAGACGTACTTCTATCTTAAAATGAATTCTCGTCGAGGGAATAATTTTTCCGAAAAGTCAAATGTGAAATTGTGTCATTTGTAATCAGGTTTTGTGAAAATTGAGTTTTGAGTATTGAAATAATGTACATTATTCATGAAATCAATGGGATTCTGTGCAGACATTGTGTTCTGGATTAGCTTAGATCTCCGTGTTCTTTCTGTTATTTACATGTAAATTAAAGAGTATTTAATGTATTTGTTTTGTTTCCCTCTTGAACACATTCCAAAGTTTACCTGTAACTCTCCATTCTGTTTTAACTGTCCATTCGATTTTTTGAAAAAACTGTCCATTCTTAAAAAGAATGGACAGTTTTCCAAAAAGAATGGACACTTACAGGTAACTTAATGGATTGTTTGAGGAGTTAGCTCAACATTAAAGCTATAGAATGGACAACACAAACAAAAGGTTTACGTCACAATCATGTTTTAATTATTGTTTTGATCCTGATCACCCTATTTTTCTTGCTTTTGGGCAACAAAGCTTCATCTTTCAGTTCATTTTATACTCTATGGATCCTCTAAATTGTTGTATTATACTCAGGTGACCGTTAAGGCCCTTGGGCCTCTTGTATTATTTCTAAAAGGAATCTACAACCAAGGACGTGATCCAAATGCACTACACTCACTGGCCAGATCATGGTGTCCCTGATCCTGTAGATCTGATGATCTTTCATAAACACGTGGTGCGGATCCAGGAAAAAAGCAAGAATAGTGTTCTATTGGTACATTGCAGGTAAACTCAATCCCCCTCTCACACGGTTAAAAGATTTATGTAATTTGTTATTTTAGCGTTGATCCTCATTTTATCGCAAGTAGTATGTCAATTAATACCTTTATATTAGAGTTGTTGAGACTGCATACGTGTGCGTGTACGGGTAGTCTAGTATAGGGGAATTTCCTTTTTAGAGTTTTTCTACACTTAAGCATTGTTCTATATTTTAACGCCGGTATTTAGTCATTTCAGCATTAGTCCACTTTTAGCATTGTTTTATAATTTAGCGCCAATATTTAATTGTTTTACCGTTTATCTATATTTTAGCACTGTTCCACATTTAGCGCTGAACCATCACGTAGCTTAGTCGGTAGAGCGAGTGCTCGATCCGTGGTCAGAGATCGTGTGTTCGAATCACGTCCGCGACTGACGTTAGTTGATAAAAAATAGGTAGCAAACAGTTACTGTTCCTTTGCAAAGAGCTCAGTACTTTGCAGTGAAAGCTGCGGGTCCTTCGGATGAGACCTTAAAAGCCGAGGCCCCGTGTCACGGTAGGAGTTTGCACGATAAAGAACCCTTACTGATCAATGGCCCTGAGTGCCGAGTAAAGGTCTAAATTTGAAGTTCTACACCGGTATATGGTGACGTCTCTATATTAGTGAAAAATTTTCGAACGGGACGTAAAACAACATACAATCAATTAATCAATCATTTCACCCGTTATAATAACATTTTACCCGTTATATAGTCATTTTACGTTTTTCTACAATTATGATTCGTTCAATATGTATCTACGACCCGCATTTAGTAATTTTAGCGTTTGTTACGTTTTAGCATTTTTTTTTTAATATTAAGGGCCGATATTTAATCATATTAGCGTTTTTCTTCATTAAAGAAATGATTTTTATTTAAGCGCCGGTGGCGCAGTGGTTACAGCGTTTGATATAGAGTCGCAGAGTAAGGAGTTGATCCTTACATCATGGGATCGAATCCACTGTGTGACGCGGAAACTGGTCTTTCGGATGCGGCCATATAAACCAAGGTCCTGTGTCGCAGTAGGTGCTGACACGAAAAAGATCCCTCACTGCTCAACGGATGTTAGTGTCGAGTGCAGGTCTAAATTTGCAGTCCTCCATCGGCAAGTGGTGGCGTATCTAATTCTCGAAGGGACGTTAAGCAAACAAACAAAACATTTTAATAGTGCCGGTATTTAGTAATTTTAGCTTTTTTCCTTATTATACATTTAGGGCTGGTATTTAGTAAATTAAGCGTTTTTTCTACATTTTAGCAATTTCCATAATATAGAGCCGGTATTTAGTAATTTCATCATTTTTGTACATTTCAGCAATATTCCATAATTTAGTAACGGATTTTAATCATTTTAGCGTTTTTTTTACATTGTAGCGCCGGTATAGGTCGCACAGGGACATTTTTAGCATTAGATGAATTGTATCGCTACGGCTGCATACATGGAACCTTTAACGCTGTTGATTACGTTAAAACAATGAGGGAAGATCGCATGAATATGATACAAAATGTGGTAGGTAGAATTATTTAGAAATGGATTAGAGAATGACGTTTGTAATATTTGGTTACATGCATAACTTTTCTTGAATAAATAAAATGTAAAATTGTGTAAAGATGTGTGGATACAATTAAAACGTTTGAACTATACATCATTAAAAAGATATGTAACGTATGTATACAGTTAAAAAAAATGTAAAACAAAGTATGGCTACTATATTTATTCATATGTAATATATGAATAGCAGATGAAAAGTTAAAAAGATATGCGAATGAACTTTTGTTTGTTTGGTTGTTTGTTGTTTAACGTCCCTCTCGAGAATTTTTCACTCATATGGAGACGCACCACTTGCCGATGGAGAGCTGCAAATTTTTTTGTCTATACTCGGCATTGAGCAGTGAGGGAACTTCTTCGTGGCAGCACCTACTGCGACACGGGACCTCAGTTTATACGGTCTCATCCTACGCACCGGTCTCTACGTCCCACAGTGGGATTCGAACACTCGAATGAACTTAAAATGAGTGCCAAAAGTAACATCATAAGGACGCCGGTAACATTCTTACCGTACGGAGATAGACAAAACCTGACGTTGTGTTTATCTTAATATTTAAAAAAGTATTTTATATAATCGAATAAAATTTTTGGGAAAAATTAAAATATACAAGGGGTATTTTGTTGATTACATTTTGTTGATAACATTTGGTTATTTAAGATTTTATAGCAGTTGTGACAAAACTTTTGGAATTAACCATCGTATCAGTGTTAGAAACGTATAATATCTTATTACAGCCTAAAGAATAATTCTGCGTAATTTTCTAATTAACCGCGGATTGAACAGAAATTGTGCTTCCACGGAATTATGTCGCCGTGGGGAAAAAGAGTATTTAAAAGCCATTTTAAGTGATAAGGCTTATAAGATGTAAGTTCTAGTGATATATTCCTGACAGTTGTTTACCAAAAGAACACACTTTAACATAGTTGTCAATTATTCTAGAAATAAATGGCACTCTACTATTTAGATATGCACTGCGGGACGTGGAAACCGGTCCTTCGGATAAAACCATATAAACCGATGTCCCATGTCGCAGTAGGTGCTGGCACGAAAAGATCCGTCACTGCCCAATTGCCCTGAATGCCGAGTATAGATCTAAATTTGCAGCCCTCCACTGGGACGTGCTGGCATCTCAATATGACTGATAAAGTCTCGAAAAGGAAGTTAAGCAAAAATACAAACAAACTATTTAGATGTGAATGAGAATAAAGAGAGTACTATTATATCTACACCTAAGTATAACACTCTCGAGATGTAAAAAAGTGTATGTTAATCACATTGTCAAAACAAGGAGATCGTCTGAATAGAAGTCTGCTTGACAGTCCAACCAACTTTATATCCCGATCCAGAACCAAAACAATTTACTCACAAACAAGTCTTGTATTTCAGGACCAGTATGTCTGTCTTCATTTTGCATTGAATGAGTCCTTTAAAGGAAAACAACGGGTGAAGGACAAAGCTTCTTTTATCAAGAAACAAAGAGAAAATCCGAGTGGTTCTGAACTGACATCAGAATTCGAAGTAAGCATAGAGAATTCTGGCACTGTTATATACAAACCAAGTTTATAAAAATACTGCCAGAGAGAGGGACAGACAAACAGACGGACGGACGAAAAGAAGGACAGGAGGGAAAATCTTGTCCTCTTTAGGGGTGCTATAGAATAAAATAAATTGTCAAATATAATTAATTGGGTATACTTCATTGGAAACGGCGGGTGTAACCGGTCGGCAGGGGATGCTCACTCCTCCATGGCACCTGATCCCACCTCTGATGTTTGGAGGTCCGTGTTTGCTCTGCTCCTATTTTGTACTGTTTAATGGACTTTTGAGCTTGAATACTGTTCGTTATCTCCATATATTTCATTGCATTAGGCAGCTTATTATGAGAATGTCCATAAAAATGTTGCATGAAAGACAGTCAGATTATACAGGTATCATATATTATCTTGATTCAAGAATGGGACAATTAATTACATCAGGCAAGTGTTCGCTTAAAAGCAGACTCTAATAGTTATTATTGTTGGTGTAAGAAGCAAAATCTAGTATTCGCTTTACATACATGGATGCAACGATGAATTACTGACTAGTTACAACAAGCTGATGTCAGTTAATTGATAACTTATACTTGAAAAAAAAAGAAATGTATCTATTATTAAATTTAAGAAAGAAATATAGATTTTAAAGTAAAAACAAATGACATTTCAAGTACATAGAGAAATTAATTAAATATAACACTTGAAAAAGAAGAAATACCTATTATTATATTTATATTTTAGATTTTAAAGTAACAAAATGTCATTTGAAGTGTGAGTAGTGAAACTTGATTGCGTAATTTTTTCTCCCCAAAGGAGCTAATTTCCATCAAAAAACAATATATAGACGCAGATAAAGAGGCGGGAATATCGCACCAAGAACTAAACTACACAAAGGATGTTTTACCAGGTTATTATCATTTCCGTTATGTTATTTATCATTTCTACTATCATATTATTTAATTTCTACTGTCATGTTATTAATCCTTTCAACTATCATGTTATTTATTATCTCTACTGTTATTTATCATTTCTACTATCATTTTATTTATCATCTACTATCATGTTAATTTTCATAATTTCTACTGTCATGTTATTTTTTCATCTCAACTATCATGTTATTTGTCATTTCTACTGTCATGTTATTTGTCATTTCTACTCTCATGTTATTTATCATCTCAACTATCATGTTATTTATCATGTTATTTATCATTTCTACTATCTTGTTATTTATCATTTCTACTCTCATGTTATTTATCATCTCAACTATCATGTTATTTATCATTTCTACTATCATGCTATTTATCATCTCAACTATCATGTTATTTATCATTTCTACTATCATGCTATTTATCATCTCAACTATCATGTTATTTATCATTTCTACTATCATGCTATTTATCATCTCAACTATCATGTTATTTATCATTTCTACTGTTATGTTATTTATCATGTCTACTATCAAGTCCGAATCTCTTGTTATATAATTTCTTCCCCCAAATGTACTTGCGGTCAAACTGAAGACATTTATTATTTTTTCTTTGTTTGCAAAAAATATGAACGTCCAAGAAATGACTTAATAAACACTATTCTTCAACTTAACCAGCAAAATATAATAGATACTCATTTTTTATTGTGTGGAAACGAATCTTTTTCTACCGATGTAAATATTCAAAATTTCTGTAGTGTCCAGAAATTTTTTCGAGAATCAGATAGATTCTAATTCAAAACAGTGTCTTAGATTTCAATATGTATATGCAGAATGAAAAATTTTAAATGTTTTAGCAAATATGAAAGATTCTTGTTCAAAAACATTGCAATCACTGTATATGTAACATTAGAGCTCTGGTAGATTACTCAGAGTAATCTATGTGTCTTTATAATTTTCATATATATTACATGTACAACATAAATTTTCGTAAATTATCTCAATTTATTTATTATGACAATCATATTGTATTCATTGTTTGTATAATAAGCTGGAGAGGATTTATCAAGTTGAAAGAACTTCTATCCAATCCTTTTGTATGTATTATTACAATAAAATATGTTCAAATCAAATCAATCTCTTGTAACTAATTTTGACTTTTGTAGAATCGATATCCATATCGTGATTTTACTGCATATTTATCTTAACTTTATATGAGTATTAATTTACATAATTGAGTTACTTTTCTTGGTAAAGCCAATAACTTACCATAGCTTAATAAAATATTTTGATATTTGTTGTTTAGTCGACAGGTTCAAGGTGGCCCTGTCTTCGTATGTTGAAGGACGAACTTATTACTACAATGCAGTCTTCGTTTCGGTAAGTACAACTAAATCACATTTTTTAAACAAAGTTTTTGCTTACTATGTATAAGTATACTATGATAAAATAAACCAATTCACAACGATTTATTGAAAAAGATTCTGTTATGAAGACACGTTCTTCGAATATCTGTTTTTGTATCTCCTCGTAGTATATGTATACAAAAATACTGTTATTTTGAGACTTCTTAATTGATTTCAAATCGTATCAAAAAAATATATTCAAAAAATTTTATTATCAGCGATTCATTGATTTTTAGTAGAGTACCGGTATATAAGAAATGTCATCCTCCGAAATCTTTCAAAAACACCTGGTCATCAATGTTCTTTAATTTTTGTCAGGGAACTTGTTAAAGCAGCAGTCCTTCATGCACAAATTCCAGGGGAAAGCTATATATAATTGAGAAATTAAAAAGTTATGATTACCAAGATGTAGGAAGGAATATTCTTTCATTTCAGTCTTTCTGTGAGAACAACGCCCTGATAGCTGCCCAGTATCCAGTGGAGGGACAGGCTGTAGATTTCCTGAGACTCCTAGTGGATCACGAATCGAACACTCTTGTATCTATCAATCCTCTTAAGGATATACCATCGGTATATTATTTTTTTTCCATGGTTTCTCGTATCGAGGTTATGTTCCCGATTTTGACGAAAAATAGATTAGAGTTATATATTTCTTTCGCAAATTCTACATGCAAAAGACAACCATGTGCATGCCTTGATTTTTGCTGTGTATTCATTTAATGCAATTCAATGTATCATATGACAAAAGAAATGGAATAAGGAAAAAAGAGTAACATTTATGAATATAAAAAAAAACTCTGCAGTTAATCTAAAAAGGATGTTGGAGTTCCTCATTGACAACATCATTGTAGTCTTTGGAATCAAGGTCTTCCAACAAACGAACCTGAATTTATTCAAAAACTAATTCGAAGAAGAAAAACCCCACTAGCTGTGGCCTTCAACTCGAAATTCAGATATATCAGTATATAATAGTTGCTTCCATTCATATGTCGACTCGATATATCCCAGTGAACTTGAAATGAAAGACACATTTGTTTCATATTTGGATGTTTTATCGACTATAGACGATAAGGGTCAACTAACAACTACATTGTATGTCATGACGAACGAAATGACTTCAGCTTTCCCATTGTCAACTTTCCTTAGCTATGTAGTAATATTCCCCAATACCTGCATGTGGTGTTTATGTATATACCATTAAGGTATTCGATACTCAAGATCATGCATTGAGTACAATCAATTTTCAACCCGATGCAGGCTACTGACAGATTAAATTAATGTTATAGGGATTTCAACAACCTCTTTTAAAATCAGCATATGTAAATTCTATGGACATTATAACCTTGTTAGTAAATATAACCTATCATTGGGTTGTATTTTGACGGACATGTTTCATACCGAACTGTTAGGCCTTTGTTTTTTACTAACTTTGACTGTAAAATATTCCGTCTACCTGATCAGTATACCGTATATACTCGCTTATAAGTCGGCTTTTTGGGAGTTAAACTTGGTCTAAAACTCTTTATCCGACTTATACGCGAGTTATTAAAAGAATGGTATTTTAGTGGGTCAATCCCTCTAATTTAAGCTTAAAAAATACAACCGACTTATAGGCGAGTATATACGGTACATAGAGTTCACAGCGGGTGTGACCGGTAGACAAGGAATGCTTAATCCTCCTAGGCACATGATCCCACCTCTGGAATTTTTAGGGTCTGTGTTTTATGTCTTGTTCACAGATTTGAATTGTTGTATGTTTTTATTGTATGTTTTTGTTGTATGTTTGTATTGTTGTATGTTTTTATTTTAGACCAATCACTGTTCGTTATCTTCTCCTTTATCACTGTAGGCAAGGGAATGGCTTCCAAGGGAGAACCCAATCGCTATTGAATCATACAGTATTTCCAAGCTGTCTTCTTCGAACATAACGCCTTCTGTCCGAAAAACTGATATAATAATAAAGAATGATGAGGTAAAGCAGATCTTATAAACTTCCTTTATATAATTATCCGTTTTTGTGTGAAATTGTTACAAATTTTAGTGATAAAGATAAATTTTGATAAGCAGCTGGTTACAATCTGTATTTATTTCAGAGTTTTTTTTCAAGAAAATTTACCACCAGTTTAACATATGTGGATCGAAATATTGATGAAAGATCTTCAGATGTTTCAAAATAAACTGGTAAAAATTTGTGTAGTTATTGAATGGCATATTTTGTTATCTGTGTAAAATATTTAAACGATGTGCTTTTCCAGTCTGAGACACAGGAAGTTAGTATTTACGAACTAACAACATGGAAGATGAATGACGTCATCCCACGTGATCTTCAAATGGTTGCAGATGTCATTGATCATGTGATGAAAAGAAATAAATCATCAGAGACTGTGAATCCAGTAACCATTGTCTCAAAGTAAGATTTTTTTTTTACGGATCATTGGAAGGATAATCTCAATTTAGAATTTGTGTTCAAAGTTTTATATGCATCTATCAGTCAGTTTGTCTCTTTTTTCTGTATGTTTCTTTGAAACTTCGCTGACACATTTATAAGAATTCTTAAATGGCATCTTTTACATTTCTTCTTATTTAGTTATTACTTATTTCTTGGAGGATCAACATATTTTCTTTGCATATATTAAAATATTTCTCCATTCTTCTATCCCGATTAAAAGTTTTAAGATACACACACTGAATTTTACACCAAATTCTATAATATTTAGCGGAATGTATTGCCCGAACATTTACTGTATCTTAAAGCAAACGAATTACGAATAATGTAACCTTTTCAGAATTTTAATTAAATTAAATCATTTAACAAAAAATTATTTTGCATAGAGATGGCGCCACAGGTTGTGGTATGGTCTGTGCAGTGTATAATACCCTCCAACAACTACAGCAGGATGATGAAGTAGACATGTTTAGTATAGTCCGGCAGTTACAGATTCGTAGACCGGAAATGATCTCATCGAAGGTTAGTATAGTCAGGCAGTTACAGATTCGTAGACCGGAAATGATCTCATCTAAGGTTAGTATAGTCCGACAGCTTCAGTTAATGTAGTCCGGCAGCTAAGAGATTGTAGACCGGAAATGGTCGCAATAACGGGTAATTTAGTCCTGCAGTTACAGATACGAAGACCGGAAATGGTTTCGTCTACGTTAAGTGTAGTCCTGTATAATTGCAGATACATATAGCTAGGAAATGATATCATCAGTACAACAAAAACATAATGGTGGACACCAATAATGGATCAAAATCATACAATAAAGAATAATATTATAATAATATTGTTTCTCTTTCCTCCCTTGAAATAACAGCAAAATGTTATTGAACTCTCTTTAAGATTTAGATAAAGAAATTACAAATATTGATCAATATATAGTATTAAGATTTCATTACTTTTGAAACTCATATTTGATAAAGTTTGGGCTAATGAATGATTTTGTGTTATTTTGACCGTTATTTTCTGCATTACAGGTGTTTATTTAAAGAAAGTAACAATAAAATGTATATTCTGCTTATAGGAAGAATACATAGCATGTCACAAGATCGTGGCGTCAACTCTAGAGGACTTTCCGAATGAACCTGACGGTGAGACAGTCTCTGAAACAGGCGAGACATCACGAGACCTCTATAGCAACGTAGAGATAGTGTATGCAAATGGATAGAGAAAATTGTGCCAATGTGTGACATATAGAAGCATATTATAAAGATAGAGAAAACGGAGTCAATGTGTGACATCTAGAAGCATTATATAATATGTTTCTGATTGTTTTTTTTATATACTAAAATATACTTTATGTCATTTCTAAGCGTTTGTATATTGTGTTAAATAACATTCACTGGAAAATAAAAGTAGATCTTCTACATTTGTGTCCACATTTGTCAATGTTTTGTCAGTTTAACGAGATCAATAAAGTATATTACAGACCTCGCATGCACTGCGTTTATATAATATCTCAGTCATGATACCAGAATAGGTTGAGAACAGTAATAAAAACGAATTCACTGTCCATTTGATTTTGTTATACGAAATAAAACTAGCATAATCATGATAATTTGAAAATATCAAGCTCATTTATCAGACCTGTGTGTGCATGTATCCATTAACGTTCAAATAATCACGTGAGTTGTCACGTGATTAAATTTACATCTGGTTGGCTAGCAGAAGCTTCACAATTAGGATGTTATATAATTTACTTAAATATACATATTGAAACATTAATAAGAAATAAACGATACGTCAAGAAGAAAACCCCAATTTTTTATTCTTTTGTCAAACTGACTATTTGGACCACTCTGGTAATTAATTAAGTGGATGAATATCAATCATTGTTTTGGTTTTGCTTTCCTTTTCTTTTTTTTTTTTTTTGGGTGGGGATGGGGGTTGTCAAGAGAAAAAAGTAAGAAATGCAACTTACAAAGCATGATTTGTTGTTGTTGAGGTGCTGCATTCTTTTCCTCCCTCCAAGCTTTTGCCATTTTAAAATAGATTGTGGCCATGCAGATCTAGAATAATTTAGTCGTTATACTCTAATCTTGCCATGTTTTCTTCTACAAATTCAAGACGATGTTACATCTATTTGTATACTTGTAGTTTACAACCGAAACATGCATATATATATCAGTTGTAAAGCTTTTTTAATTGCAAAAGCAATCTGGTAAAAGAAGTGGTCAGATAAATATATGTTATAAATGTAAAAATAGTGTAGCATTTTTTGAGTACCCGCAGCGTACAACTTGGGAAAAGTGAATTTAAGTCAGAGAATTTTAATTTATGCAAGACAGATGAATACTTCATTAAGGCCATAATATTAAAGTAATTTTCGTACTAACAAGAATTTTATATAGCGTCTTTATTTATCACTCAAATATGTTGATACATGCTGATTAAATATTGAGGAAATACGTTCAATTCGAAGAAAATTGTTCTATGTTCTTCATGCGGGGATCGAGAAGGGGGGTTCGACCCCCCCCCCCCCCTTGGAATTTGCAGAGTTATTGAAAATATATACCGAAGAAAATAAAAAATGATTTGGACCCCCCCCCCCTTCGGTACGTGGACCCAGCACCACGAAATAGGTTTTTCTCACGTTTTTGTAAAGGATTTTTTTTCGTTTGCTTGTCAAGAAATTTTCTGTGTGTTGATACGTTTGGGAAAAGAAATTTCTAAGTTGGAATTTTTTTTTGACTGGGGTTGACACGTATCCCCCCCCCCCCTCGAAAAAAAAAAAATCCTGGACCCGCGCCTGTTCTTACGATAGGGTACGCCTTAAATTACATGTACCACGCTCATATAATATAAATTATTAGGAGTTTCCTATATCATATATGAGAGAGAGCGAGAGGCACACCCCATTCTATCTTTATATTTGGCAAATTTATTATGACTGTATAAAATTCATTGTATGTTTTCAGTCGGAAACACGTTCATTCGTTTTAATACAGTTAACAATGCACAATCATTGAAGATTTTCATGTACTACATAAATCAATTATCGCATACGTATAAACTTCATGACAGACAAAATTTTACCGAAAAAGAAAATTAAAGGATTTAAATATATTTTATTTTTTTTTAAATTTAGTGTTTTGCATGCATAACCATCTACATGGTGTAACAACAGGTGCTCTTGTTTCACATTATGATATGTCGTACGGAGTATTTATTCCTTAGTTGATAAGATAATGTACAAGCCTGAGATAATACATCATTACATTCATAAAATATCATCACCTGATGAATGGAGTCTCCCTATTAACAATATACCAGGTACATTGAATTACGTAAGTCGGAATATTTTATACGCATGCATTGGCGGGCACATTGGTCGATAAAACACTGCATAAGTGGAACAAAGGGCGACCGACCGAGAAAAAAGAAACAATCAGCTCTCCGCGGTCACTGTACGGGAAATATAGATTAAAACATATGTGTATATCGACATAAGGTCTAACACACAGAGTCGGTGATGATCTAACATACAGGCTTGGACAAATCAAAGTTATAAATACCAATACGCTGTACAAAAAAGATAGAAAGAAAGACGCACTGATGAGATAGACAGATGGGATAAATACAACGCTGTGATATTCATTTTATACCGAGATCTTTGACCGTTTGACCACAACACAAGTAGTGATTCACTATACGGGGAACAATCGGATGTCAGCTTTAACAACAAACGGAACAACTGACCGAGATAATTTTCCGGTCTGTGAACTTCCGGATTAGTCGCTGGAACAGTGAATATTGTCGGCGTACTATCCATAGAACTGCATTGTTTATTTTTTGACTCTCTGTTTATACAATTAGATAATACTGCTTTATCATAGGCTTATCGATCGTTCCACTCAAACTACTCCCAATATAAGTGGGGAATTCCTACAGTTTCTATCAGTAGTGATTAACGATGTAAACAGTAAGTATACTGATTCCCGACTCTCTCTCTCTCTCTCTCTCTTTCTCTCTCTGAGATGTGCTATTATCATGATTATCAATGGACATTTTATAGGAAGTTATTTGTAATTTTTAGTTCCGTATTGTAAGACATTACTTTCATTTTCGTAAATAAATCTGGAAGTCCCGAAAGCGGATATACAAAGCTTCCAGATCTGATAGATAATTATGGATTCTCGGCAGTCTGTGGCGGATCCAATGTTTCAAAGATCTATATACACTGGTGAACATTGATTTAAATTTTGATTTAAAAAATTACATTTTTTGTACATACTCCATCGGATTCGACACAAATTATTCTAACTAAGATTCTCCTCTCCAATAGGACGAAAATAAAAATACAAAACTTGTAATTTATATTGGAAGGAAATGTGTATGATTGTGTTACAGAGAAAAGGAAAAAATAAATGGGTAGGAATTGAAGACGGAAGAAATAATTAAGCTGGGAAATAAAAATTTTTCGAAATTTTTATTTACTCCTGCACACCTTTACCTACATTTATAATTGATTTGGTTACTCATATATTAATCATTAATTTTTTTTTTCGAAGTCACTTTTTTTAATACCAGATAATCTTCGTCCATATGTTTATTTCAAGTTTAAGTTTATATGAATCATCCACACATAATCGTTTTAAATCTCTGAACACATGTATAGTGCGTAGGCGCGATGTCTGTTGTCGGAACATCTAATTTTAAATACATGTTGTTGTTAAACCGGGAAGTGTTAATTTTACGCCTGCTGTTTGAAAACAATTTCATTTGAAAAGTTTCTGTCAATATTTTCCCTACTTTTTGAAAACTTGAAAAGCCAGATTTTTTTTTAGAATCTAATAATCTAGAGATTTTCACAAACAGCGAGCAGGAATAATAAAGCGACATGTACAATATGTAGCTCAAGGTAGGACAACGTTAATTTTTCTCATCATGCATTCATTTTTTTTCTTTGGCTTGAAATAAATCGACTTCTTTTCCATTAGGTTCTCAATGTGTTAGGACAGTGGCGGATCCAGGAATTTTGAAAGGGGGGCAGTTTGGGGTCGAAGTGGGGGCCCACAACCACACCAAAAAAAAAAAAAGATTTATTAAATATTGTATGTACTTTGGACACAAAAGGGAGGGGGACTCGGGTCCCTGCCCCCCTCTAAATCCGTCAGTGTACGAATACATTTCTGAGTTTTGATATTAATTAAAAAATTATTTTGATGGATTCTTCAATTTTTCTCTATGTACACACTTTTATCCCAATTAAAGAAAAAGGATTTTTTTGACATCCTGTGTGCAGAATTTTATATGAAGAGGTTCCTGAAATATATATATATAAAAAGATGCCAAGAATAATCTTCCAATTTTTAAACACTTTATAAAAGCATCCCCTCCTGAAAATAATAAAAAAAAAAAGTTACGGCTGTTTAGATTTTAAAATGTGAAAGAATGTGTGAGTGAGTATTAAAATTATCCATATGAATCACTACATCATAAAGAAAGTACATCAATTAAAGTGTTGTAGATGACAAATTTAATTTTGAACAAATTGTAATTAAGTTTCTTAGTGGACACTAAGGTATACATGTATTTACAGAACACCCCTTAGGTTCAAAAGGTCGGGGCGTGTCTGTAACACTACCCAGTACAGCACGATTAGATAGGAAATAGAATCCAGTATTAAGGATGACACTGCCCCTTCTATGTAACGTAGGGTCAAGTACAGGGTAGAGCTAGGGCGTGTAAGGTGCAGTGTAAATATGTATAAAACAGAGCCGAATTGTCTTCATAGTCACAAACAAATCACCGCATCATCATGATCATATAGGGTATACTTGTTACATATGTACATGTGTTCCTGTCCGTGTGAAAATTGTAAGTACCAAGGCTACTGAATTTCATTTTTTATATACTTTAATTATACATGTACACGTCAGAAAGTCTAACATTACAATTGAATCACATTATTGTTTTATTTTAAATTAAGGTTGTCAAGTTTTTATTTGACGTAAAAATAAATCAGTGTACATTGATATCCTGCATGTAATTCTGTGTCCTACATGTAGGTTCTCAACTGAAAGTACCAGGATTAATTGTTGAGCCTGTAGACTAACATTGTGTTTTTTTCAATTTTTTCATAAAATAATTTTAAAAAATAATATCTACATATTTAATCAAAGTACTGAAAGTACTGTACATTTGGTACTTTTAAAATGTGAAGTTTTTACTCTGATGTGTTATAAACTACTTCCGGAACTTTAATCCTTTAAAATGTATCATTCTTGTTAAATTTCAGATGAGATGTGACTGAATGCCTAAGAGAGAAAAAATATGGACAACGATCACTGCGGAAACGCCATGTCGGAATTGGTTTCTACTGAAAAGGAAGCCATTGAACTAACACGAATCGATGACACCGAAATACAGATCGAGAAGACTGATAATCACCCTTCTGAAGAAATCTCAAAAATCGAAAACCAACCGGAAACTCTTTCAAAATCAATGTCTTCAAAAAGAATACGATGTTATCCAAGTGAAGCAGAAGTCGCAAAAGTAATCGAGGTGTTCCGAGAGAGACTTGTTTTCACTTTTAATCGCAAAAAGGCGAAATATCAGAGGATCTTACTGGAGTTAGGGGTAAACGTGCAGGCGCATGGCGACGAAAACGAGGACGACGATTGTGAAGATGAAATGGAAATAGTTGTCAGCGACAAATATTCCAAAGGTCGGTGTATTAGAAACTCTTTCCGATTTGGCGAGCATTACAGTTTCCGGAGGCTACTCAAAGGCATTTACAATGCATTTCAAAGAAAGAAAGCAATGAGGCGACTGAAACCAGTGGACAGCATTCCAAAAGAAGACTACGAGAGCGTGCTAAATGGCGTGTCTACAGAACTTTCTATTGCGTATGAATATCAACTCGCAATGCTTGCGGATGAAACAGAGATAAACTCGGTGGCGGATCACGCTGTACGATGTATGTTCAAGTATCTGAAGTCAGACGACGCCGTGTTTAATCCGTCCAATCTACTTCAAGCAGTGATAGAGGAGACTCCTAGATATTCCATCAAGTATTTTGACAGAGAACTCAAAACTAGAATTGTGAAGAAAGACAACTTTGGAATGCAGGTTAGTCAGAAATGGCGGCTGTACGATATTCTCAAACAACCCGGCATTCGAATCATAGACATGCGCTCTAGATCATATCAGTATTTCGGGTGTTTCACGCCTTTTGGTTTTAGCTGTCGCCCGGATAAATACGGCTTCCGTGGACCTTTGCACATATGGAACGAAAAAGAACGAAAATATACATTAGTTCCGAATGACATGACGTCATGTGTTTCAATAAAGCGAAGGGAGATAACTTTTAATCCAAATAATGTACACCATAGTTACAGCCCAACGCTTTCTTGTTGCCATGACAATGTAGATGCAAATGACGTCAGTGTTAGTGTTGAAGATAAAACCCCGGATGGGATAGATGTATCTGCCGCGGAATAAAATATACTCTTTAGTAGTCATTTAATAAGACCGAGATTGCTTTTGTTTTCTAGTCATCTTGCTTTTGCTGTTGAATGTGAATCTATTATAACTCTCCGTTACTTGTCCTTGTTGATTTTTCAATAAAGTATTAACAAATATACTGTGTCATGGTACTTGTGAGTTACGATTTTACAAATATTTTTTTGTAGTTATTGAAGGTATAAATACCCTTAATCAGAGTAGAAATTACCACCAAACAATAAATCTAACTCACATACTCATGTACAAACACTAGACATTTTTTAAACACTGTCGTCAGTGTTTTTCCTTGAACTTATGTCAAAGAAAATAAATTTATATAAAAATTCAAACTGTCAATCATATAAATGATGGTAAATGAAAACAAAAAAATATGACATTTTACATTTCTTTATTAATAAATATAAACCATTTACCAGACATGGATGAAGACATATACAATATAACAGACAGACATGTCACACACACACAGGTAAAAATAGCACAGACACTCTCCAGACTCACTGACTAATGAACACCATGACTAGAGGGCAACAATGGGGGGGGGGGGGGAGGGGGAGTTAAAGAGGTATCAAAGTATGGAAGGCTGTACAGGACAAAAAAACATAGAACATGAACTAAAGATCTGTATAATATTTTCAATACAAAAACCAGGGCTTTGATTTTAATGGTTCCTACATACAGTATATAATGAGGGAGGGTGGAAATGTATAAATACATGTATTATAAATGAGAACTTCCTGTATTTTTATCAGATAGTATACCTGTGAGGGTAACCTTAGCAGAGAAACTAAAGGACATGTGCATCTTCTTGGGAAATTTTGGTACCACAAAGTCTTAGGTACCTCTTGAAGAACCTCGGAGCAAAAATGATATTGCTAGGGTCTTCATATAAATTTTACTGATGAAAAAATATCGAAAAACTGGTGGGAAGCACAGCTAATTAGCACCAAATCTACTGACTATCCTAGATAAAATGTCGAAATTCCATAAGCTCTTTTCATAAACATGTACATTTTGTTCTACATGTACTCTTAGAATAATTTAATTTTTCTATAAAATGATTTTTAAAAAATGTCGCTTTTTTATAATGTTTTCTTTAATGCTGAACAAATATGAGAAATTACAATGGTACACAATGACTCCACAAAGTTTGTATAGTTATGGATTATATATAAATATCAGTTCATACTTGGGTTATTTCACTATTACTAAGCTGGTGGTTTCATAAAAACATGAAATGTAAATGCTACTCTGAAAATTTATACATATAGCCACATGACAGCACACTTTTCTATCACATGCATCAAACATTACTATTCAAGCAATATGAAAACTGACAACAACTTTTTTCCACACAATTCATACCTGATGCAACAAAAATAATTATAGATTTTCTCATTGGCTTTGAAAACAAGAGACATTGATGGTATTTAAGTTCTAACATGGAATGTTAAAAATATAGGTCTTAAAAATCACTTCCTATATACACACACAATTACATACATACATTTTCACAATTTTAAAAATTTGTTGTGCAAGTTCTCAAATAAAAAAAAAAATTACAACTTATAGAAAAAAATTCAATTTGTACAGCAAATTTATAACAAGTAAAGTTTGGTATTGAATCCATGATTAATTTATAGATAAGAAGATGAGATATTTTGAATTTAATATCAGGATAATTTTTTAAAAAAAATCTATGTCAAGTTGGGTTTATTCTGAATCATCTTCCATTACAGAGATACCTATAAATACCAGATCATATCTAGCCGCCGGGCACATTGATTTTAAATAATGGCACAGCTCCAAAAATGCAACAAATATAAAATACGACCTAAAAAAAGATCAACATTTAACATAAGTATTTAGTATATACATCATATAATTTTCACAACATCCATAATTGCTTTAAATCTGTTTGGAAATTGCACTTTTTTAAATATATATATTTTTTAAAGGCTCTTGATATCAATACAATGACTTGATAAGTACAGCCAACAAAATTTCTTAGCTAGTAACAATTAAAAATTAAAAACGAGACATTCATCTTCTTTATGACAAACAATAACCACAGTTCTGAAAAATTTACTCTCACTGTAAATTTTACATTTGGCCAATTTGGACTGCATGACAACAATCTGCGAATAAATACGTTTTTATTAAATGTACAAATTAATGGATATAGTTAGCTTCAGATTTACAAGAACAATCCACCAAGCTTCACTCTAATCAAAGTTCAGGTGGGTGTTAATAATAAGAAAGATAACTCTTGCATACTCAGTTATTGTTCTTGTTGGACTTCACAATCTCTCCATACTGTAAATGCACCTTATCTTTTCAAAACTTATAACTTTAATTAAAAAAAAAAAAATAGAACCTAGTAAAATAGAACCTAGTAAAATTTCTTGGCTTGAGCTTCCTTGTTAGATCTGAAATAAATAAAATAAAATAAGGAGATATCAATTTTGACAAAGAATTTTTTGTAATTGCAAGAGTGCTTTATTTTGAATGACTATTAAAGAAATGTGTGTCTTTTATGTAATTACATGTAGCTTGGTTTTAAATTTGTCTATGCAGGTTAAAGGGAAAAAATGAAACATAAGGGAGGGGGTTGGACGGTGAGGAGGGCTGAGCATTTTTATGCCCCCGGATCGAAAGATCCCGGGGGTATATTGTTTTTGTCCTGTCTGTCTGTTTGTCTGTTTGTTTGTCTGTTTGTCCGTTTGTCTGTCTGTCTGTTGTCAACTTTAACCTTGCCCATAACTTTTGATTGGTTGGAGCTATGACTTTCATATTTCACATGTGTATTCCTTGTGACAAGACCTTTCTTTGGGTACCATCATATTTGACCTTTTGACCTTGACCTTGGAGTTTGACCCACTTTTGCAAAATTTTATGAGACTTTAACCTTGGCCATAACTTTTGAACAGTTGGAGCTTGGGGTTTCAAACTTCACATGTGTATTCTTTGTGACAAGACCTTCTTTTGGATACCAAACACTTTGACTGTTTGACCTTGACCTTGGACTTTGACCTACTTTTGAAAAACTTTAACCTTGGCCATAACTTTTGAACAGTTGGTGCTTAGGGTTTCAAACTTCACATGTGTATTCCTTGTGACAAGACCTTCCTCTGGATATCAACCACTTTGACCCTTTTGACCTTGACCTAGGAGTTTGACATACTTTTGAAAAACTTTTACCTTGGCCATAACTTTTGAACAGTTGGTGCTTAGGGTTTCAAACTTCACATGTGTATTCCTTGTGACAAGACCTTCCTCTGGATATCAACCACTTTGACCCTTTTGACCTTGACCTAGGAGTTTGATCTACTTTTGAAAAACTTTAACCTTGGCCATAACTTTTGAATGGTTGGAGCTAGGGCTTTCATACTTCACATAAGTAATCCTTGTGACAAGACCTTCCTTTGAATACCAATGACTTTGACCTTTTGACCCTGACCTAGGAGTTTGACCTACTTTTGAAAAACTTTAACCTTGGCCATAACTTTTGAATGGTTGATGCTAGGGCTTTCATACTTCACATATGTAATCCTTGTGACAAGACCTTCCTTTGGATACCAACCACTTCGACTCTTTGACCTTGACCTAGGAGTTTGACCTCCTTTTGAAAAACTTTAACCTTGGCCATAACTTTTGAATGGTTGGTGCTAGGGCTTTCATACTTCACATATGTAATCCTTGTGATGAGATCTTCCTTTGGATACCAACCACTTTGACCTTGACCTTGACGTTTGACTTTTATTAAAAAAACTTTAACCTTCACCATAACTTTTGAACAGTTGTATCTAGGTCTTTCAAATTCCACAGGTGTTTTCCTCGAGACAAGATCTTTCTTTGGGTATCAACATTTTTTATCTTTTGGCCTGGATTTTGACTTGCATTTGAGAAACTTTAACCTTCGACATAAGCTGCCATACGGGGGCATAGTGTTTCACAAACACATCTTGTTTTTTTTGATTTTGTAATTTTTTTTCTCTCCATTTTTTGATGCTCAGAATCTGGAATATCTGCAGCTGACCACTTGAAGTGAACTCATTATACGCCACACATAATTATTTCATGAAAGGAAATCATGAATCCATTATAAAAATCCTAACCCCAAAAATATTGGATTTCTTACCTATAAACCATGTATCCAACTATGAATAGAAGTTGTAAACCTATAGCCAGGAAAAATAACATGGGAGACACGCAGTTAGCCTGGACCTCTGGGCAATTCATCTGTCCCTACAAAACACACCAAACATTATGTATCGAGTTATTGATGGAAATAAAATCTTCTTAGACTAATTCACAGTTTACCGGAATATATTTAAATACCAGAAAACAAAAAAATTTGAATACTTTTGCATTTAACATGACTCAATGATATACACCAACTTTACAATATAAATAGAATACATTACATAATTTTCAAGATGATATATTTTTCTTTTGTAATTGCAAACTTTTTCAAAAAAAAAAAAAATATGTACGTTACTCTGGGGCCTGTTTTACAAAAGAACTTACAACTAAGATCAAAAACTCCAGTTGATTGTAAAATAATGCAAAATTAATTATTTTGTTTAAAATTGCAAGTGTAAAAGTGTCTTTCTACATACCTTTCAAAGAGATTTAAACCATTTTCTTTTTAATGTAAATAAGAAAGTTATTAGCAGAATTAAATTTTGGTCTTAGTCATAAGTTCTTTTGTAAAACAGGCCCCTGATTCTCTATGAGAAATGAAATTGCCTTACCTGTGGTCTATTGGCAACATTGGACAGGTCTGACCTAACATAGTTCATATTCTCGTGTAGTTTATATATAATGCTTTGTATATCTTGAGGGATTCCCCCGCCCCCCTGAGATCCACCACCTCCACCACCCAGACTGCCTTGGATCGTACCAGCTCTCTGTTGTACATCATACATCACTTGTCTGAAGAAAAGTACAGGTAAATACATATATAGGTAAATAAATAAGTACACATAAGTACATATGGGCTAAAAATAAGTACCGGTAAATATGTACAGGTAAATAAATAATGTTTCACAATGGTTAACAATTTTTTTGTCTCTACCAATGATGTAAACTTACTTGATATCTCTGGCATTACTGATGATGTAAACTTACTTGATATCTTATTGATATCTCTGGCTTTATTGATGATATTAACTTACTTGATATCTTATTGATATCTCTGACTTTATTGATGATGTGAACTTACTTGATATCTCTGGCGTCGTTCATGATCTGAGCCTGGTTGTTCAGCACTTGATCCACCTCATGACGTTTGATTGATTCTGGAATAATGGGAGGGGCTCCTCCACCCTACGTAAAGATAAGATCACACTGTACTACAAATCTATATTTAGTATCAGAAATAATGCCCATGTTTTAGGTTTTTGCCCTTAGTTTGCATAATGACGAACACTTGTTTACATCTTTGCATTAGCTGTCCTCAGAAATATATCATGTTGATAAAGTGGAGCCTGCTTGTAATAGACTATATTGGCCTGAGTTAAAAATATTTCTGCTTGTGATAGACTACCATATAGTCCGTTTTTTGGGAGTTAAACTTTGGTCCAAAACTCTTTATCCGACTTATACATGAGTTATAAAAAGACTGGTATTTTAGTGGGTCAATCCCTCTAATTTAAGCTTAAAAAATACAACCGACTTATAGGCGAATATATACGGTATATTGGCCTGAGATATAAATATTTCTGCTTGTGATAGACTATATTTTGGTCTGAGATATAAATATTTCTGCTTGTGATTGACCATATCAGTTAGAGATTCTGACATGAGCATTTCTGAAGACGATCAGCAACAAATTCACAATTCAGAAGGTAATTTCTGCACTTTTAGCCGATTAATAAAAACAAGAAAACATAAACAAAAGCAGACCAATTTTAAAATCCTATATAAGATGAGCACATACATATATATACATATACATATAAGAAATAATTATATGACTTACCGGTGACACCTGGACGTTTCCACCGGTCAGCTGACTGACTCGAGACAGAACCATTTCCTGTCTTCCCATCAGCTCGTCTAACTTCCTGTTCAGTTCCTTCAGCGTGTTGTGCATTTCATTCTGTCCGTCAAAAATCATCCTCAACTCTCGGTCTTCTTGTGCTTCAAACTGTCAAGAAAGATAACTTCTGATTAACACCTTGAATGCCATACCTTTTTCCATCATTATTCATTCATGTCATTTGTTATTTTTACAACTAGTTCCTTATTTTCATTAATCCAATATCCACCTTAGTTCATTTGTTTTTGGATTCACATCTGATTCTTGGTTTAACTGAATGGCCACCACATAATCTTTCCTTTCTTTTACCATTAGTCTTTCAACTGTTTTAAATCAATTCTACAAGACCATTGATTCCCTCTTAGTCTTACCATTGACTCAAATTCCCCTGGATGTTTTCCTGGGTGCTGTTTTTGGTAGCTGTTAAATGAAAATATTTCTGTATGTTAATGTCTTCTAAGAGTGGAAAAGCTGATCATATTATTCAATATAATAATTTAAATTTCTGGCATTTCATTTGCTAATTTTTGTACATTGATGATGTGATACATTAAACAAATAGGTCAGTGTACATTAAAATTAATAAAGCCATGCATGATTTTACCCTAATTTGGAAAGAGAATACAAATATTAAGGGGGATTACTCACTTTTCTTTAGCTTGCTCCAGTTCTTTGTAATAATCGTCAAACTCTTTCTCATATTTCTGTCTCTCCTGCTCCGGCACCTGATTGGCTGGCTGTGAAAAAGATGACAAGAAAATGGTAAAAATAGGCCAATTTTCTGTTCACAGTCACATAAATTTCTTCAATAAATCCCAAAAAGGAAAATGGGTTTACATCAATTCATATAAATATGTGGCTTTATACATTTTCAAGATCATCTACATGTATTTTAGTAAATTTACACATATATTTTTGCTTTGCAGAGAAAGTTTCAAATCGATTGTAGTTTAATAATACATGAAGTAAACTTCAATTTTTCAGTTCGAGTCATAAACCTAAATAGTTGTACCCACCTGTTCGTCTTGGGAATGTAGAGAATGGGTAAGGAAGGCCAGTACATCATGGTCATCTACAACACAAAAGTCATATCTTGTATGCCAGTTTGAATTACTTCCTTAAGAAATAGGTTACAAAATAAAGAAACAGCTGCTGATAATGCAGTTACATTTTCATCACTTCTTTCCCTCACTTTACATTAAATCTATACATTTGACCAATCAATCAATTTTTGTTTCTGAATCAAACCATCAATCTTGTTACAATACATTCAGTTTCAGTGTTTTTCCCCAGGCTAGATATCCCCCTTTTTCAAATCTTTGTTAGAGTAAGTTTTGCCCTACATGGCATAAACTTGATACATATGTATGTACTAATATGCCTACTTCACATACATGTATACATGTACTATAAAATCTTTGTTATATTGCTTTTTCCCACTCTGCCCTTTATTTTTCTTGCCAAACAATCTCATTTTAATATTTGCTACATCTGATATAATAGTAAATAAATAAGGACAATTTCAAAGTCACTGACATAGTTAAGACTGACAAGTCAAAGGCAATGTTAACAAATGCTTACCTGCTAGTCCACCAGTAGCGGCAGTGATACCAAAGTAGCCACTGTCTGGGAGGTTAACGTTCTCCTGTCTCAGACAAAGCTCAAAATCGTCCTTGTTATTGGTCAGACCATTGTTTACAAATACCTGGAAAAAAGACATTACAATGAGGTGTCCATAGGAACAGGGCATTACAATGAGGTGTCCATAGGAACAGGGCATTACAAGACTATAGGAAAAAGGCATTACAATGAGGTATCCATAGGAAAATATCAAGGAGCTTAGTATATACACAGCTAAACTTCGAAATCTCGAACACGGATATCTCTAATACCCCGGATATGTCGAAGTAAGGCCGCGGTCCAGATGAAATATTTTCTCTATAAATGATTAAAATAAAACCCTTTATGTCGAACATGGTAATGTCGAATACCCCGGTTATCTCAAAGTAAAATTGTGTACCCATTCATTGAAATCGTTCTGATGATCAAGTCCTTTAGGTAAACTGAATGCTTTATTGATAACACCCACCCCTTTTGTCACACACGGGTTACCCGTGTTCCTGTGATCAACAGATAATAGAGCGATAATTACACGAGGTGTATGTATGGCTTACCTTGATTTTAATTATGCAAGCCGAGGGTTGTGTTTATTAGTCTAATGCATACGCCTGGATGACACGTTAATGGTTTTGTGGCTGGGGTACGTTAATCTTGTTAAGTGCTATTTAATGCTAGGTGTAATATGCGCACTTGCATAGTTTATGCATTCATGTACATGTATCAAAATGAAAACTATAAACGTCAAAGTGAAACAAAATTCTGTAGTTTAATGCAATTAATCCTACATGAGTGTGCAGAATTTACAATCTTCAGAACACACCATCATGTGAGAGTGTGTCGCAGTGAAAACTGTGTAAACGTTTGCTATAGTGCGATTTAGTGTTGTTCTGTAGTTAGACAAAAGTGCGTGTTTCTTCTTTTGCATTCGTTTTATTATGATAAAGTATTTTTGGTTTAACTGATTGTTTTTCCAATTAAAAAAAAATGTATATTTCGTTTTCGTTACTCTGAAAGCGACCAATTTTAAATTTACAATGCATAGATGATATCCGGCTATGTATACATGGGAAACGATGAGAGCCGTTGGAAGAAGAATTATACTTCTGTGCGTACTATACAAAGTTTTAATTTGTGAATTATAAAGAGGAGATAAAAATCTTTTTATTGCTAAATAAATGTACATGTCTATCAAAGAAATCGCATACAGAATTTCAAACAAGGAGGAATTTGAGGTTTTATTTCTATTAAGTATGTGTTCACTACGCTAAATTTATTTGAAGTCCATTTGATATGTTGAACCCCCAGATATCTCGAAGTTCATTAACAGTCCTTTCAACTTTGAGATAACGAAATTTAACTGTACTCACATCAGTTTATTTGCAGACACAATATAAATTTTCTTTGCAAACTAGAAATTGATAGTAAAGATGCATATAAAGCTATGTGTTTGGAGCTGTACATGTTTATCAAAATCTATACATTTGACAAGTCTTATTTGTATTCACTTGTAAATTCCAACAAATATGCCCTTTTAACATGGATAAAGCATTCAAGTTTTATTTCTATTCAGTGAAATATCTATTCAGTGAAATAAATTGAAAAAAAATCCCAAAAGCCAAATCATATTACTACATCCAACTTAGCAATATTTGGATTATTATTGCCTGGTGGCTGAAGGAGTTTGTTAATACGTACTGTAAGGATTTTATTGTAGTACTCTATCTTCACTCTGATTGGGTATGGCTTGTTTCTGAAGTCACGCAGACATCCACCAACCTGCTGCTGGGAGCCATCACTGAAAAACAGAGAGACGTAAACAAAGCCATTATGATTCAGTCACTAAAACCTCATGTATTAATCTTTTTCATAGTTTACAGACTGGTTGATTTCTCAAGTCACATGATATTAAATGTCACATGATCAAAAGCATGGCACCCCTTTAATCAAAATTTTTTATTTACAAACATAAATCTGCACTTCATAAGAATATTTGTGAAAGTAATTGTCCATGTTTCAATATTTCTGATAGATTTTCCTGCTGTATTTGATTGTTAACCCTAATCACTACCTAAATCATTTCAACACTCACCTCTGGTGGTCATACTGTTGAGTTCCATCGTTTACCATTGCCATAATGTATGGATTGTTGTGCTAAAATAAAGTGAGATTTTTAATTTACTAAGGTCATTCTGTACTGTCAAGATATTCGTTACATTTGTAGACAATTTTTGTTTCAAGCTCAGTTAATGAGATTTGATAAAAAATTAACAATAGTGTTGTTGATTGGTTGTTTGTTTTATGTTCCTTTGAGAATTTTTTAATCTTGTTAGAACACCTCCATTTGCTCCATTTTCCAAATTTTGACCTATAATTGGCACTAATGGCCTTTGAGCAGTGAGGGAACTTATTTGTTCCAGAATCTACTGTGACACAGGACACCTGTTTCTCATTGAAAGGAACCAAGGAATCCATACTGTAGCTTGCAAATTATTCATGCAAATATTCCGGAATATCGATATCCAAAAATATTTCTTATTTCAGCTAGAAATTCCCTGTCATATCATTAACATTACTTCAGAAATCGTAACAAAATTTACATGTATATAAAAACCAGAACAAAGGAAAAGTAAAATATATTTTATAAATGTACAATGTACAGTAAAACATGCTTAAAGCAAACAAGCCTAAAATGTATTGATACTTACAGGGAATTGATTTTCAATCCCTGTAGCTTTAAAATATAATACTGTTAACTTAACGGATATAATAAATTATGTTTATAATGAAGCAAAATTGTCCATTCCTGGCACTTTGTTATAAGCAAGTTTACCTGTACTTCTGTCTGGAAACTTCATGAAGGTATGACCTGATTCTTTTCATCCAGGCACACTTAGTGTACATGTATACAAACAAGTGAATTTACAATTACAACATGTATGTATGTATTACCTGTCCATCATTATCAAAGGAGTCCATGAACACACCTAGTCCCCTCCACATATCCTGGTTTCCAAAAACTGGTCCCTCCTGACCTTTGTCCTCTGTAAACCACACAGCCTGTCAAAAATAGGATAAATACATTTATAATAAAATATACTCTATGTGTGAAAAAAATGTTTATCTAAAAGGTTTTTATTTTACTAAGTTATTGGCCAAAGAGATAAAAGACCCAACTTCTGTGTAGTAGTTCATGCAGCAGTATGAATGTTGACAATGCCTTTTATGATTCTGTATGAATGTATTAAAATTGCTCATTTACATATTCAAATAGATTAATACAACTGATGGATATACTCATGATACTTTTATGTATTGCTCTGTGTCAAAAATAGACATGAATAATGGAAAATAAGAACACTGATGAAGAAAAGTATATATTGCCATTAACTGACAATAAAAGATGCCACTGGCCCAGATTTAAAATTTTACTCCATTGTTGTCCTTCTATAAGGCTTACTTGTTTATAAAAACTGATTCAAACTTGTGCTTTATTATGTGAGAGAAGATAATTTATGATAATGTTAATAGTCACTGTGACCTAAGCCTCCTCTAATGACTATGCTTACATGAACACTCAATATTCTCTATTGTTTCGGACAAAAATTTCATTTTTGATCAATGTACATTTATTTGAATCTCATGAATCTTGAAAATTATGAAGATACACATGATAAATTTTTTTTTAATTTGAAATTCATTGCCTTAACACTAAAGAAATGCTATACCATACTGGATAAATCTTTATTTATTGCTATGAGTATATAAATTCTCCGATTAATGTTGTGTAATTATACCCTTAGGCCTTAAGAGTTATCTTCATTATTCAATATCAATGTACTTACTGATTGTAGGAAGTGGACAGTCTTGTAAATTTTACTGTCATTCATCGTGCAACAAAGGCTTAAGGGCAAATCTTGCTCAAGGTCATGATTTTTTTCACAGAAACTAATAATTTATTTCTTAATTTTCAAACTCGTGACACAAAATGAATTAAATGAACCATGTAATTTTTTTTTTATCTTAAGAAAACTGTTAAATATAATCACTGAAACTGAATTATGCAAAGTTGGTAATTGTAGACCATCATGATGGATTAGCTTTATTTTTACCAAAAGCACATGAGAAAAAACTGTTGTATCTGATTGGTAAAATTAATATCCTATCTTCAAGTTGATGTAAATTATTAATGAAATCTCTTCCTAAAGATTCAAGGAGGAAGTTCTCTTGATTGTATCAAAACACAACCTATTTATTCAATATCATGAATAAACTCTGCTTTCTTTTTTTTTTATAAGAGATCTTCAGTGTATTTTAAGGCAAAGAGGAAAAAGATTCATAATTAGGGAGGGAATTCAAATTTATACCAGTCCATCTGCACCAACACGACCTCGCCCAGTGACCTTGAAAACACATTCTACAGACCATTGGTTAAAGGTAGTTTTCAGATTTGTCCAGACCCAACCTGTAAATTAACAAAGGTTTACTCAAAAATTGAAAATCAACAAATATACTCTGAAATACTTTCAGTACTTTAAAATAGTCGAACACAAAGATATCAGTCTTCTCCAGTGATGTAAGTATTGTAAACGGTTGAATACACTTACACACCTTCCCAAAATTAAGACAACTGTACCATTTCAATTACTATTGTGCATGCTCTTCATTTATGAAATTTTAAAGCGTTTTGTAAAAACATGAAAAACAGCATCAACTTACCTCTCTTGCTTCTTATAGAGGGGGCTAATCTAATGTTATCATCTCCAGCAATGGCATCTGAAGAATAAAAACAAGTTTTAAATGGAGGATATTAAAACACTGTTCATAGGTTTCTTTTGATTACAAACTTTCATCTCATTTATTCTAATCATGATGGAAAATGCATTGCATAAGGGTCTTGCTCTTTCACTGCATTATTATTACATATATATAAGCTCAATCCAATATGAATTTAATGATAAACAGAATATTAAAAATAACCTTTTGAGGTTTAAAAAAATGTTTAATATGTAAACATGGGTTGAGAATTCAAAATACAGCATGGTGCCATCATTATGTATTATGAGAATTATTCTCAAGCTATCATTATGATCTTAAAATCTACAAATGTAAGACACTTTTTCTAGGGAAGGGTGAGGATTATTGACATGCATCTCTGTTTAGAATTGATTTCATTAAAATGATTATAAAAAAAACCCAATATATTTATTGTAGTTTTTGTTATCTAGAACAAAAGCAGGTGCTTAAATATCAATATACAAATTAATATATTTATTGTAGTTTTTGTTATCTAAAACAAAAGCAGGTGCTTAAATATCAAGGGGATTTATTCCGACTTAATGAGGTCGATTCAAGTACAAGAGAATGGTTGCAATGATCGTCAACGTCTGCCATATGCTCAAGTGAAGTGATTTATTTTAGCAACAAAGGCATCTAGTACCCTAAAAATATCCCAAAACCTAAAATTACATTGATTAAATTAGGATCAAATGACTGCTTGCATAAAACTTTGAAATTTGTGCCGGCATATGTTATTGTTGACATGCAACACGTGTACATAAAACACCAGCCAACCAGAACACGTTTAGTGTAACTTACGGAAAAAAATTCTTACCTCCTCCGTAGTCCCAGAATGGAATGCTTTTGTTGCTCTGAGTCAAGTGAGGTCCTTTAAAGCTGTATTTGTATTCAAATCTAGGCTTCAGTTGCGCTCCATAAGCTAGAAAAATTAAAGAACACGCAACAACCACTGTCGACAGCATCGCGCTTGACGTTCGCTAAAACTGTAACGGAAATAAAGTGCAGTGCGCCGTCTATCGCATGATAAGGGAGACAACTTACATGTATGTAACAGCTTTATCCTCGGGGCGGATCTAAATGGAGGTTGTTGGATGAATTTTGACTTTTAAAAATCTATTCTTCCAGTCCAGGAAGTTTTGGGAAAAAAACAACTAATAATTCAAAAAATAATTAAATAAATTAAAAATATGCATCATACCGTTCATCAAGTATTCATTTATCGTACACATATCGGTAAAACATACAAGACAGAAATAAAAACCAGAATTGAAACACAAGTATGTCTAACAACAAATATATTCTAAATATTCATTGCAAGTGCATTGAGGATTTTCAAAACATCTCAGGTTAACCCCCCCCCCCCCGTTTTTAAAATGCTGCTCTCAAAATGTACTCTCAAAGTTATAACATTCTAAAAGTTTTAAAATATTCAGAAAGAAAATTACATCAGAAGCTTTATACACAATTAATTTTTGGAAAACAAAATATTAAAATGTACATGCAGTGTGCGATTCTTAAATATCTTCAGAAGATGTTATATAAATGTTTTCAAAATACTGAACTATATGTGCAGACCTACACTCTGCACTTACGGTCTTTGAGCAGTGAGGGATCTTTATGATGCCAGCACCTACTGCGACAATGGACCTTGGTTGATCCGCAGGAATAAATACCGAATTATGATATATAAAGGTTAACGCTGCTTTTTAAAAATGGATGTCATTTAGTGATTTGCCAAAATGGATGTTTAGGTACCAAATTTAAACCCACTCTGACTACTAGTCAAGACAGGAAAAGGCTACCAGGTGAGTAATGGACTGCAATATTGACAAATCATTATCGTTAAAACGACCGTGGCTGAGTCAGACTCACTGCATACTTCATTATTAATGTCATTTTAATTTTAAATTTATAGCACCACATATGAAGTGTGTGTATTAGCTTAAAAGCACAATTTAAATAACAGCTACTAGCGTATTGGATAATTTCGAGCATGTGCATGTTTACAGGAAATACATAAATATGAGATGAATGGGGGATATTTACACATACTAGACGGACTCGTACAGTTTACACTCACAACAAAGATATTTTCACCAAGTGCATATATAGTGCATATCTAGTTAGCAATGCATTCACACATATTAAAATCTGGCATCCGTCGGGTTGTCGGGAATATAAAAAAAATGTAAAAATATTTCACTCCTGTATCAAAATACATCCCTCATGTGTTTAGTTATAACTAGTATAATTATATGTATTACCAGATCACTGATAAGCGGTTACAAGTGACGACTATATACGCTATTCAAATATATTATTTTAGTAGAGTACATGTATATACATACAACTCTCTCTCTCTCTCTCTCTCTCCCCCCACACATATAAATAGACTCATAATTTGCATAAGAAATCGGTAGACATGGAATACCTACAAATTATACGTAAACAACTATTCGGATGCGTGATATAAGACTGCGTTACCACTTGTTTAACCTTAGGTACTTCTTGAAATGTCAGTTTAATTCGGACCTCGTTAAATTTGGTCAAGACTATGAGGTACCAGCTAATACAGAGTAACTCTAATATTTTATAACAATTTTTATTTTTAATTTCATTAAAATCTACAACAATTAATTTTGAAAACATGTAAAATCATGATCTTTATATATTACTTCCATCCCGTCTTTCAGAACTCTTTCAGTACTTTGATTTCTGTATTTATATGATATTGATTTTCATTTGACTTTTAACTTTTTACAATTACAAGACTTGTTTTCCAGCAAGGACTGTGAATCATAAACATTTCAGTTTAGTAAGTAAAAGATACCAGAAAAAATTATATCTAAATCATGAACGTTAGTATATACTAAAATGTACAAAAATATAAACGAAACACAATAGCATACTAGAAAAGAATAAAGAACTAAAAAAAAAATCAAATTAAAAATAAGATCAAACCTGCTAAGGCCGTGCTTGTACATGAACCAGAGACAAAGAGATTGATGTATAGTTAAACTCCTTATAAAAACAAACGGTTGACGTAACAATTTACAAAGCTAGATATAACCTTGAAATTCAATTACAAATCATTTTATAATATTTCTAATGATTTAATAGAAAAAGCTTTATTCTTCGACTACTTCCGGTTCATCCAATGGATGGTTTTTGTTATCAATTGTCCATTTAAGCATTAGTTCTATATGCCTTTATTCAAAACAGTTAAAAATTTCTAAAATTACGAAATTAAATATCACGTCCGGTGTCGACCGGAAGTGACGGATGCAAAAACAAAAGGCGTTATGCATAACTCAAAGAGATGTTCTATCTTCCCTGAATATATCATGTTTCCGTCCTACGTCGTTTATAAGAAAATGCATGGTCAAAATGCCAATTTGAAAAATGAAAACTGTACAAAACATACGACCGGAAGTGAGTTTTCAAGAAATTAAAAAAAAAAACGGTCTGGAGATATTTAAAACAATGCATCATTTCTGAAAAAGTCCTTAAAATCGGTCCAGTAGTTTCCGAGAAATTACCTGTACTTTGAAAAGGGATTAATAAAAAGAAACGAGTAGGTCTTCCGACGGACGTCAAGAGTTATGTATTAAGAGTTTTTGTCCAAATAATAATGATAAAATTAAGGCAAATTTCTTCAAAATGCACACACACACACACACACACACACAAAATCATTTCCATTTTCGATTCCGACTTTTCCCACTGTGCAGTCGTCACTTCCGGTTGCCGTCCAAAGTCACAAGGCCAGGAAAAAACTTTAAAAACTCAATTAATAATCATTTTATACTATTTCTTATGATTTCGGAGAAAAAGCTTTATTTTTCGACTATTTACGGTTACATGTAACAAATTCAACCTTACACCCGGAAGTACTTTCGATGAATGCTTTTTGTTGTCAATTATTCATGTGAACATAAGTCGCTTTTATTCAAAACTGTTAAATTTTTCGAAAAATCTTGAGATTAAATATCACTTCCGGGGACGACCGGAAGTGACGAATGCAAAATCAAAAGGCGTTATGCATAACTCAAAGAGATGTTCAATCATCCCTGAAAATATCATGATTCCCTCTTGACTCGTTTACAAGAAAAAGCGTAGACGAAATGACAATATGGAAAATGAAATTGGACAAAAAAGCGACCTGAAGTGATTTTTCAAAAAAAAAAAAAAAAAAAAAAACGGTCTGGATATTTGAAAACAATGCATAATTCCTGAAAAAAATCTTTGAAATCGGTCTAGTAGTTTTCGAGAAATTATGTGTTTTATGAAAAGAGAATAATAATAATAGGAAACAGAAGAAAAAAAGTAAGGACTTCCGAAGGAAGTCGAAAGACCTTAATTATATCAGTTTCTTGATCGCACAAAATGCGGAAATGTACTTTGACCAAAACCAAAACAATATCTTCCACTAAAAAAAAAATTATTTACATGATTATTAATTGGTAACTATAACAAGAGGCCCATGGGCCACATCGCTCACCTGAGTAACTTTGGCCATGCTGTTCATTACCAGACTTCCCCCATTGTAATACCTATTGTGGCCCCGCCCTACCCCCAGGGGCCATGATTTGAACAATTTAGAATCTACACTACCCCAGGATGCTTCCACATAAGTTTCAGTTTTTCTGGTCCAGTGGTTCTTGAGAAGATTTTTAAAGATTTTTCCTGTATATTTCAATGTGAAACTTGGGATTCCCTATTGTGCCCCCCCATCCCCGGGGTCATGATTTGAACAATTTAGAGTGTACATTACTTGAGGATGCTTCCACATAAGTTTCAGCTTTTCTGGCTCAGTAGCTCTTGCCTATATATTTCAATGTAAAACTTGTATTCCCTATTGTGGCCCCGCCCTACCCCCGGGGGTCATGATTTGAACAATTTAGAATCTACACTATCCCAGGATGCTTCCACATAAGTTTCAGCTTTTCTGGCTCAGTGGTTCTTAAGAAGAAGATTTTTCAAGATTTTTCCTATATATTTCAATGTAAAACTTGGATTCCCTATTGTGGCCCCGCCCTACCCCCGGGGGTCATGATTTGAACAATTTAGAATCTACACTATCCCAGGATGCTTCCACATAAGTTTCAGCTTTTCTGGCTCAGTGGTTCTTAAGAAGAAGATTTTTCAAGATTTTTCCTATATATTTCAATGTAAAACTTGGATTCCCTATTGTGGCCCCGCCCTACCCCCGGGGGTCATGATTTTAACAATTTAGAATCTACACTATCCCAGGATGCTTCCACATAAGTTTCAGCTTTTCTGGCTCAATGGTTCTTGAGAAGAAGATTTTTCAAGATTTCTCCTATATATTTCAATGTAAAACTTGTATTTCCTATTGTGGCCCCGCCCTACCCCCGGGGGTCATGATTTTAACAAATTAGAATCTACACTACCCCAGGATGCTTCCACATAAGTTTAAGCTTTTCTGGCTCAGTGGTTCTTGAGAAGAAGATTTTTCAAGATTTTTCCTATATATTTCAATGTAAAACTTGGATTCCCTATTGTGGCCCCGCCCTACCCCCGGGGGTCATGATTTTAACAATTTAGAATCTACACTATCCCAGGATGCTTCCATATAAGTTTCAGCTTTTCTGGCCCAGTGGTTCTTGAGAAGAAGATTTTTCAAGATTTTTCCTATATATTTCAATGTAAAATTTGGATTCCCTATTGTGGCCCCGCCCTACCCCCGGGGGTCATGATTTTAACAATTTAGAATCTACACTATCCCAGGATGCTTCCATATAAGTTTCAGCTTTTCTGGCCCAGTGGTTCTTGAGAAGAAGATTTTTTTATGACCCCACCCTATTTTTGTCTTTTCTTGATTATCTCCCTTTCTAAGGGGACTTGGCCCTTTATTTTAACAATTTAAACTCCCCTTCCCCCAAGGATACTTTGTACCAAGTTTGGTTAAAATTGGCCCAGTGGTTCTTGAGAAGAAGTTGAAAATGTGAAAAGTTTACAGACGGACGGACGGACAGACGGACGGACAGACAGACAGACGGACAGACGGACGGACGACGGACAACGGGTGATCAGAAAAGCTCACTTGAGCTTTCAGCTCAGGTGAGCTAAAAAGTTCTGATTCGCAGGACTGAAAGATCCTGGATCTGGAAATGTGATTGAATGACCGAGTTCTCGAGTCCTGCAATTTAGTCACCTTTCAGTTAACTGAATGGCATAGCTTTAATTATTCTGACATTTTCATTGCATTAGAAAAGGTTATTAAAATTTTACAATATAAAATATTTATAAAATCTAAACTTATGACGAAGATTCACGAAAAGTAAAAGTTTTGGTATTATCTGGATATATATATATGTCGAAATTTCTAATTTTTTGTTCTGTGATTTTATCAACTTTACACTCTACACAAAAAGTTGATAGGTACAATTGTAAACGAAGATATTACATTTAAACTTTGCTATTCACAAAATCAACGTTGATATTAGATTATTTATAATAAAAGGTTAGTAACTTTTTAACATCATACATTTTATATTATAACATTGTATATAAAGAACGAGTAATTTTTGAATTTTTATTTCATGTCACATTATTTGATGTCAAACGGATATCAACATTTTCTCCGAGAAAAAAATCACACGTCTCCAGATTTAGAGCAACTTTATATATATATATATATATATATATATATATATATATATATATATATATATATATATATATATATATATATATATATATATATATATATATATATATATATATATATATATATATATATATATATATATATATATATATATATATATATATATATATATATATATATATATATATATATACATATTTTATATATATATATATGTATATATATATATATATATATATATATATATATATATATATATATATATATATATATATATATATATATATATACATATTTTATATATATATATATATATATATATATATATATATATATATATATAGAACACTTTAACATTATGTAGTTTTAAGTCAAATTGTTGGTACAAAGGGACGTGTACTGCCACTCGTCATCTTCCCGGAATTCTCGTAATGATTACTGGGATCCGACTTGTTGTTTTTATTGTCAACAGACTTCCGGCCGGTGTTAAATTGTCCCAGCTCTGTCACTGTAAGGTATTGGTATTCATTTTGTAAATCTCCACGTCCTTCCTGTGTTCCTAGGGTAACATCATAAACGTCATGGCACCCTTTGCTTGTAACTGACGTCCCTAGAAAACAAAATAGAAATATACATATTGTTGAATTTTTACCAGTGCTGAAAATAAAGATACTTCTTCCAAAATGCTTGAAATATTAAACTACCGATATGAACTGTTCATATGAAAAGTTGAGTTTAGGTATTGATATATGAACTGCTGAAGTACGAATTGTTGATATGCATTTTTAATAGTAACACATGTACTTAATCGTAGATGTTATAATGTAAATTATTGATACGAACTGTTCATATGAAGAGTTATTATGAATTGTGGATGTGAAATGTTGAAATAAAGTGGTGACAGGAACTGCTAACATGAAATAATCAAGTTTATAATACCGTTTTTTTTTTTCATTTTCACATGCGTTTTACCTGAACCAAATTTACAAGTTGCTTTACAAATGATGCTGATTATTGTTAACAAAACAAATAGACCAGCGAAAACTTCTACAATAATCCATAGTATCCACTGTGACGGAGTCGATCCCAGGTCTGGCTCTATCTCTGTAAAATACATTATTATATGAAATAAAGATTAGCAGTATAACTATTCCATGGTATTATCGGTCAAAAACCTCTTTGTCTTAAACTCAAAGGGCCAAGAAAAACTTTGAGTTATCTGAGGATTTGGGATATGGAGGTTAAAATATACAAAGAAAAAGAACTTGAGTCTTCCATCTCAACATCTCGACATATCCATGATATTCAAGACATTCAATGTATCGAAGTTCAACTGTACTTTCAGATAAATATTTTTAAAGATCTTTTCATCTTACTGGTAAGTGGCAATGCTAAGATAACAGAGATCAAACTTAAAATTAAATAATTTAATTTTGGTTGAATGTGCGATTTGATTGGCTAGAAGATTAAGTTTATATCGTATAACTTGTGTTGCGTACGTCACAATACCATGCGTCAAAAACGCATCGACTCGCCTGACGATATACTTTTCAAACATGTAGAATTTGTAAGGTTTTTTGAAGGAATTTAACACTTAATGATAAAAAAAAAATAAATTGTAAGGAATAAATTGAATAGGCAGCCAATTAAACATGTATAACCTGTGTTCGAACAGTTTAAACCTTTTTATAAACCACTTCGCAGTTTAGAAAGTTTATACTGCCCCAATACATGTTATATGAAGTATAAATTGGTAGCTATTGAATTATTCATTTCTAAAACAATACAAACTGAGAGCAGGGTAAACTTTGACCCATGTCGTTTCATTGACTTTCGAGATTGAATATTGTTCGTTATCTTCATATTCCATGAAACAATACAAATAGAGAGCAGGGTAAACATGGACTCCTGGAAATACGAGAGGTAGCGGCAGGTGTTATAGAGGAATGGGGATTGGATAAAACAGGAGGAAAAGACAGAGCCGTATTTAGGAAATAGAAATGCGCACTCTTTGTGGCTTTTCACAACAAGAAAGTATATCTCACTATTACAACCCATACGCTTTCTCTCAAAGGTTTCTGGCATGAAAAATTGATTTTTTTAATGTTTAAAATTTCTATGAACATAAAGATGAAACCCTTTTTTATCAAACATATTCAATCCAAAATCAGAAAGAAGTAAAATTAAGATAATTGTTACTATTTGATTACTAAACCTTTTATATTGTTGTTAAATGTATTTTAGCATTTTCTCCTACAAATGATCTTTCCAATGGACTCCTAATTTGCCTGCTTTTAAGAAAATATCCTGCCTCCTTATTTGCATTTTGTAAATCATATATATACGGTACCAATTTTGATACACCAAATGCGCATTTCGACAAATTATATCTCTTCAGTGATGCCCAAGCCGAAACGTTGGAAATCCAAAATAAAAAAAAAAGACTTGGAAGAGCTGAAAAAAGATGTCAAAGACTGGAGCCAAATACATCGAAAAATCAGAGTTATGCATAAGGGGGATAACCCTTAATCCTTCACTCCTAATCTACATACTTTTAAGAGAATGCCATGAAACCTAATTTGCATCTTCACTCCTAATCTACATGCTTTTATGAAAATATCCTGACTCTTATTTGCATCTTTGCTCCTAATTTGCATACTTTTAGGAGAATTCTTCCATTTGGTAATAAATTTGAAGTAAAATCAAATCGAACCTGTAATCTCGATGGTTGCTAATTCAATTCCTTCTCCAAACACAGTATAGTTACCGAGAAAACTCTCATTATGAATGGGGATCGTGCTGGACACCCAGTGCTGGTAAACTTCATTTCTTTGCGATATTGTTGTGCGAATAGCGAGGTTAGGAAGTGGTCCATTCCACGTGATCAGCATCGGTTTTGGATTTGAAATAATTGGCACATTTACAGATACGGAATTGGGAAGATCTCTTATATAAACAGTAGATTTAAACTCCACCCTATTGTCAAGGCGGGGCTTACCTATAGACAAAATGTTAATCAATTTATATATATACAATCCCTACATTAAAATGACTATACGCTTAAAGAAAAAATCTTACAAGGAATGTTGATAGAAAATGTAGCAACTTTGGTTGGATATTGTTTTGAACGTCCCTCGCATCTGTATATATTGGAATCTGTACATTGAGCTTTCCTAGGAAAGGTGTAGTTTAACCAATTATTGAGGACTTTTCCAAGAATCTGGTTTCTTGTCCCCCTACTGATGGTTACTGTAGGAATAGGGTTTCCATCTGTGAAACACGATAAAGTAAGGGACACGTTCTGTGGGATATTTGAATATTTTTCTGTCACACCATTGATATATACGATTGGTTCAGATAAATCTGCAAATCATGAAAGATTTGAATATTATTAAGATCATAAATTATATTTGGTTCATAAGGAATATGTTCTTTATCTTTATAGTTACATGTAGAAGATACACATGTAAAATACATTAAAAAAACCAAATGATTTAAGAAAAGATTAAATTCTAAGCAATACTTTCTGTCTAATTAAATAAACTACTCAGTGAAATTCTTGGGATATAATTCTGATTAATCGACAAATGCACATGCATCGTGCTGGAAATCTAAAATTTTCTTGCTACATGTATTTATGAAGAAGAATCGCAGTATGCTACAAGTGAGACATCGCTATAAAGTATAAACCCGTAGTTATTTATGGAGGATCAACACAGCAAAATTATATTCAATGGATATATTTATAGTTATCTCTTGAGATAAGAAAATGGAAAAGTAGTCTTGGTTATAAATAAGAGATTGATAATGCAGTATAAACATCTATAAATCATGCTATTAAGGCTTTTTAATTTTTTAAATTGACAAACACTAACAAAAAAACTCTTGTTTGTAGTGTTTTTTGGAAAAAATCTAAACAGAAATTACATCAAAAACAAAAACAAAACAAAAAAAAAAAAAAAACAACAAAAAAAACAAAACAAAACAAAACAAAAACAAAAAACAAAAAACAAAACAAAAAAACAAACAAACAAAAAACAAACAAACAAAAAAAACAAAAACAAAAACAAAAAAACAATCTGTTAAAGAGAAATAAAAATTAAATGCAATCAAGAGATATTGAAAGAATTAAAATTCCAGCAAGCAGTAATCAAAATTAAATTTACATTCTATAAAAGTGAAAATATATTATAGTTTTATCAGGCTACAAGGTGTCTCTGTTTTCATGTTTTACGATGAAATATGAAGATAACGAACAGTAATCAATCTCAAAAGTCCATTGAAACAATGCAATTTTGGAGCAGAGCAAACATAGACCTCCAAAAAACATCAGAGGTGGGATCAGGTGCCTTGGAGGAGTAAGCATCCCAAAAGAATATGGGAAACAAATTGATTTCCCAATATTTTTTAAATTTTCACTTCATGGCAAGATCGAGCATCAAGTAGGCCTATCGCAAATTTATATATATATATATATATATATATATATATATATATATATATATATATATATATATATATATATATATATATATATATATGAAAAACATAAATCAACAAAAGTTTAAGGAATGTTGAGAATTTTAACTTGATACGTTGATAATTTGCCAAATTATTCTAAAATTAAAAAGACATTATATGATCACCCGGCGCTGCCGCCGTTTAGTTTCATGACGTCCGACAACGTCATTGTTTCTCAATGTCCACTCCGTCTACCTTATACACTTGTCCTGATGTGATTACCTGGTGTTAAGTAAGGACTTAAGTCCGTCTTGTTTATGTGACTTTACAATGTCATGAACAGCTGCTTTCAATGCATATAATATTGTAAATGGATCTATACATAAGGAAAGATCCTCAATTGATTATACCAGAATACTTAGCTTGATGGGGTTCAATTTCTAAAACACATGATCAATGTCACTTTTCGACGTGACTGATTTTTGACACCCTCACTACAAATTGACTTTATCTGTGCATCTTTTATCTCTCTGAATCTTTTTGACTATTTAAAACGAGTACTCTGGATGTATTTTATTTTTCTGTAGCCCATTTAAACATTCCCTAGGTCTATACCAGTTTTTCCAGGTGCGAAACTTTAAAGAATGCTGGAAACAGAAACCCCTCCCCATTTTGACGTCATTTTTGAGCCCTTAATTGTTTGCACACTCCACATAAATTTACGATAAAATTTCATAGAATTTACAGAATGGGGTAAAAATTGCAAATTTTACGGAACAATTGTGTTGTACCACATGCCTAGATTAACCGGATTTTTTTGACGACAAATGCTCATATCAAAAGAGTTTTTCTCAGTTACACTCAGAAAAAACGTCATATTTGATGTTGCGCCGCTTGGACATACCATTGCTTACAAAAACAATAACAATTTATTAAAAAAATAAAACTTATGATTTATGGTTTATTCTATCGATAGAAAAGATGATGCTAACTAAATGTATTAAAATTCATTGATGTACCTAAAGCGGTTTTAATTTTATGGCGCTAGTCCACGAACTTTTTGATAACCCCTCGAATATATATATATATATATATATATATATATATATATATATATATATATATATATATATATATATATATATATATATATGTTATTATTTATTTTTTTAAAGGTATCGCTATGATAAAGAATTCATTAATTCAGCCGAAGCATTATCATGCATTATTGTGGATTTTTATCCGAAAAGTAAAAGGATATAAACTTATATTTGTTTCCATTATATAAACAATTTATCAAATAAATTAAAAGCACTGATGACGTTTTTTGTTATGTTTTATAATATATTCAAATCATTCATCAATTAACACGAAAATTTATGTTGCATACAACATTTTTATTTCATCTGGAAAAGAATCAATAAAATTATAAAATGATAAGCGTCTTTCAATGTCAAAATCCATTACAAATGTAAGACCTTTAAACTATTAGAGAAGCATTTTTTTAATTTAATTGACACAGAGTCTCTCTTTATATTTTATATACATTAAACTCAATGCTTTTTAGAATAGGCTTTTTTTTAAAGTACATTTTTTAAGTCTGATATTTTTTATGAATTTTAATAAGAATTCTTCTAGCACTGCATTAGGAAATTTCTTTTAAGAGAGAAATCTACTATTAAAAGTACGCAAGTGATTTAAGGCTAGGTATAGGCGTTTCTATGCAAATGAGCTAATAAAAATGCAAAAGAGGTATATCTATTATACAGAGAAAGCTTAAATTCAATTTCTTATACATACTTAGTTCCCAAGGCATGTTATAGCTAATGCACATTATGACGTCATATTATGACGTCATTGTTCTTAAGTACTTAAAGTAATAAAACACATCAACAAACGGCTTTGGCGCAAGGGCATACACTATTTAATTTTAAGTAAATAATGTATAATACAGCAAAGAATATTCTAAAGATTAATAAAAGTGCTGCACAAATCCTATGCACTTTCTCGTTTGATAAAAATTTGAGGAAACTTACGCTGGACTGTGAATTTTTACCCCGTTTCAACTCAAAACTTTACAAATAGTAACTAAACAATTGATTAGTCGACATTTGTGCAGCAATATCACAAATCCTTGGAATATTCTGCTTCTATTTAGACCCTGTTTCTGTAAAAATAAATAGGGTATGCCCTTGCGCCAAAGCTTTTTTGTTGATGTTCTTTATAACTTTGTGTTGTAGAGAGCAATGACGTCATAATGTGTACTGGCTATCACTTGTCGCGGGTAACAAGTTTGCATTAGAAAATAAGTTTTTATCCTTTTCTGTATAATAAGTATAGCCCTTTTGCGTTTTAATTAGTTCAGTTTCATAGAAACGTCTATACTTAGCCTTAACTCACTTGCGTATTCCATTTAGCACTCCAAAGATATGACATTTAGACAACATTTCATTATGAACATGTACTTACATTGAATGTCTATCGTTAAGTTACTGTAGGTATTCCCGGAATCTTCACTCCAGTAGGCCACGCAATAAAAAAGCGTCCTTGATCTGTTAGATGTTTGCTCTGGTAGAACATGTGATGAATCACTTTGGTATGTAGCCTCATATTTACCACTGGGTATCTTATTGAACCATTGAAAGGTACAAGGTGGATTGCAGTCCGCGGAGCAGTTGTATGGGCCAAATTTATCGCCTTCACGAATTTTTAGTATATTCATTGGTGGCTGTGGAGATATGATAACTTTTTCTGGACCATCTGGAAAGAAGAGACAGAAAAATACCCGTAAAAATTCACTTACAGTTGTATTGTGTTGACGAATGTGTAGTCATTTCTTAAGAAAGTTTTTAATAGTATCTTGATATGATATTGTAACTTGAATATTTGATTTATCAGGAACCCTAAAGTCTGCTTAATAATGCTGAATCCAAAAGCTAATTACAATTCTTGTGACTTTGTTCCATATCAGAATTTAATGAACAGACAATAGACACTTACGTATGCAGAGCAGCGACTTAATTGGATAAGCGCGCAGTGTGGACTATAGTTGAACTATATATTGTATAACATACATGTATTTCAGATAGCAAAGACATATACTAAGAATGTCACAAAAATCGGAAAGTAGATTGGCTTGTAACAGAATGTCAACAAAATAAAGTACTACTAACATAGAAATCCTCACAATTAAGAAACACCTTTCATATTTATCTATCCAACACTTATTTGTTCTGTTATTGTGCTTAAAGAGCATGTATTCTATGTACAGTTACAATAAAACTTTTGAAAAAAATCGTTTGAAAACACACAAAGATAATTACTTACATAAAGGGTTTATTCGTACTTCATCACTTCTCTCTGACTCCACAGTTTCTTTCACTCGGCAACTGTAATTGTTGTATTTAACATCTTTGCTGACGCTGAAATAATAGGTTTCCCAGTTTTCTCCTTCAATCCTCGTATTGTTGATGTACCATGAATACGATAATGGTGGGAACATCTTGTAATAACAAGGAGTGGAGGTAGACCTACTGATACATTCCAGAAATGCTTTGTTCCCAACCCTTATCGTCAGCTGTCCTTTTATTGTAGGTCTCATCGGCTTTCCTATATATTTGATTTTTAAATTTCAAAAAATCCTTTCTAATAATGAAAAATTGAAATGTTAAATTCTGATTCAATCAGATTCTCTCTCTCTCTCTCTCTTAGATATAAATTCATTCTAATGGTTATCTCTTAGAACTGAACACGGAGATAATATTAGTAAAATATAGTGCATATAATAATTGAGCAATATTAAATAAATCAGTTGCGGAGTTATAGTGTTTTACCATGGACCACCAGTATCACTCCTCCATCATCGTCATTTCTTGTGACACCTCCTACGTAATATCCAGCGTCTTCCACCGTTATATTCTTAACCTCAAACAGTATGTTAACAGACTTTAACGGTCGGGTGTGGTATACATATTTTTCAGCAGATTTTGCTTTATCCTTTGTTATTTTCAAAATTCTTGTACGGGAACCATTATGTGTATAATGAAATATACGGTAAAAATCATTTTCTGGAAAATAATCAGCTGTCCAGGAAATATTTCTTGATTCTCCTTCTTTAGCTTCAACTATGATCACTAAAAAACAAATGTAGAAAAGTTCTTAAGGCGCATAATGGAATTCAGAGTTCTCATTTATTAGAATATTTTATTGTTTTTTTAAACACATAAAGAGAATTTGTTTAAAAAATACGAATTATGCATTTATTTTCTTCCATTTAAGGCGTTCAGTGGATGACTCTGAAACCTCATTAGTGTTTAAAAATGGTAATACCTACATGTGCATAAAACTGTTTCAGAACCACTAGTTTCAGAAACACATTACAAAAATAAGATGTTTAGAAGAGTAACTTTTTAAAAAAGTAAACGTATATGAAAAACTTCGAGCAACTACTGAATGTACTTTTTTGGCACTGGTAGTGAAAAAACTAAATGTACACATTACATGGATATTAAATATTTTGAGACACCCACTGACAAAAGGTGTCTTTACATAGGCACATTTGAATTTACATTACATTTCATTCCATATTAGATACATTTCTCATCTTCAAACGTGATTTAAACATTCACTTTTTAACACTGCAACAAAAATTCAATAAATATTAAATTTTCAAATAACTACGTGTATGTAAGTATAGTAGTAGTAATATGTGTTCTAGAGAAAAAAACCAATTCCTCCTATTTTCCTACCGTTCACGGTAGCTCAGTCGGTAGAGCGCTCGCTCCGTGATCGGGAGGTCGTGAGTTCGAATCTCGGCCGCGACAGACCTAAGTCGATAGAAAAATAGGTAGCAACTGTTCCTTCGCCATGCGCTCGGCACTTTGAAGTGAAAGTTGCGGATCCTTCGGATGAGACCTTAAAAACCGAGGCCCCGTGTCACGGCAGGCGTTGGCACGATAAAGATCCCTCACTGCTCAATGGCCCTGAGTGCCGAGTAAAGGTCAAAATTTGAAGCCCTTCACCGGTATATGGTGACGTCTCTATATGAGTGAAAAATTCTCGAATGGGACGTAAAACAACAATCAATCAATCAATCAATCCTCCTATCTTCCATATTTTAGGTTCAGATTGTTAACCTTCAAAGAAATTGAAGGATGATATCGTGTACTTTGCTTTCCTCTCTATAAATGCTTTTTATTTTCTATCTGTGTTGATACTTTAAATTGAGGAATTGCACTATTTTTAAAAAAATATTAAAAGGGACAAACTAGGATCAAAGAATTCATAATTTATTAAGTTAAAATGCCTTTGTTGAAGTTCTTTTTGATTTATTTGGATAACTGTTCGTTATCTCCATATATTTCATTCTTTTCCATGTTGTAGTTCTAAATTTGAAAAGATTCAGGCACTTGAGGAAGCTGTTATACAGATTCTGAAAACGGGAAAAGAAATTAAATGGCGCGAAATTGGGCATTAATAAGAAAAACCTAAATGCAGACTTGTCTAAGGGAGGTTACAAGGACATCCATATATATTGTGACATTAGCATAAAGCATTAAACACGTACCATTATATGTCTTTTTGTGTTCCACATAACATTTACTGAAGTCCATACAGTTGTACTCTCGTACTTCTATAGTTACTGACTTATACTTAAGGACGTCTTCCACTGTGTAATGGTCCTCATTCGTCTTCACCCAGTCGGCTGAATGAGAGTCCTTAGTGATTAGGATATCATTGCGCAGAGAGGAAACGTTTGTCCATTTAAAAGTCACGTCACCATTCAAAAACTCCGTCCATATTTCAAACTTTTGTCCTTGAAAGGAGAAACTTTATATTAGCTTTTTCTTTATATTATTTCTTGTTCCAATTTTTTCTATAAAAGTCATTTAAGAAGCAAAGAATCGGAAAAAAATATCGTTATACTAAGCTTCCATTGAAGAGATATAGGATATGTTTGGTTTTCTAGAGCATGATAAAATGTACCTAGACTTTGTGAGAGTGTGAAAGTGTCAAACTACCACTATTTTAAAATTTAATTTTCTATAGTAAAAGCACAACCCTAATGTCATGATGACAGAAGGTCATCAGTAATTTGTCTATATTTTGTCGACACAGTCAAAATGAATTCTAAGTATCCCGACAAAGAAATTGTTCCACATAGCATGTTCATTATCAAGGAATATGAAAACTAATGCAATCTTTTAAGTACATACAAGGCATAAAATTATTATTTTCTGCGTACATGTATTTGAGACTGTTGCAAAGTTTTAACATTGAGTAAATAGCATTATTTAAAGGAAAGCAGCATATAGATATAGGCAATATGGATATAAACATACCATTTTATGTTTGAGAAGGAGCTTAAAAAATCACATAAATATTGACTGCTTTACGCATTCAATTAATCTTTAATATAAAACTTCTTTTTCAAAAACATTTCGTTCTTACCGTGTACAAAAAATAATGTCCTGGCTAGGACCAGGTACAGCCACCTGAGTTTAATCATCAGACACTTGAGAATTATTACCATTAACAATAATCCTTTTTGCAATTAATTTTACTGTCAGATCTCTCCCCGATTGTATAAAACTAAATAAAAGAAATCTTGTGATAAACAATTTTCTTTCCCAATCCAGATTTTGTAAGTACATACAGGAAAGAAGAAAAACCTTACTCCGCTTGAAGTGAACCGGTGATCAGTGTGTTGATTTGCTATTTATAAGTTGATACTTAATAACCTCATACTTCCAAAATACAGATTTAAGTTATAAATAAAGGAAGGTTGATATTACTTTATCTGGAAAATAACAGAACACTATGTGGAATAAGAATATCTTCCTTGATTAAAAGGAAGTACTCTCTCTTTCTCTCTCTCCCTCTCTCAGCGTATGTTTGCTTTTCTGTTTGCAACAAATTAGAAATTGTACTTTTCAGGAAAATTAAATGTGATATTAGTATTAAAAGACACGGGGTATGAAGAATTTTGAGCATTGATATATGACATTTACAAACTCGTTAGTCGCTATACATAGTCGCTTTACATAATGATAGTCAGATCAGTATAAAATCCTTCACTAGCTCCTTAATTATGTTCCCCAAACGGAGTTTGGGAACATATTGTTTTTACTCTGTTTCTTATTATTATTATTATTATTAGGGTCTTCCGAGCTTCCTTTGGAAGACCCTACTGTTATTCTACTGTTTCTTATTATTATTTTATTTTTTTTTTCCCGCCGATTTTCAGCAGGCGATTTCTCGAAGACCTTTTGTCCGATTGCTATGAAACTTTCAGGGTAGATACAATGTACTATTGCCTAAAACGGTTTTTTCAAATTTTGATATATACCTCCGTTCATGAGTTATTGCCCTTTAATCGATATTTGGAGGGTCTCTTGTCCAGTAGAAATCTCAATAACGACACATGATATTTGCATGAAAATTGGAGAACTTGTAACTAATACATTGCAGATGAGCAGAACATTAAAATTGTAGGCTAATTTTTTCAAGTTCGGAAGCTATGTGACTTCAAGTTTTAAGAATTATTTTTCCATGAAATTTTGCTGCTTTTTGTTTAATAACTTTTAAACTGATAAAAATTTGGTAAGACATATAGAATAAAAGTTGTGTGTAATTACAAGAGCTTTCAGATAACATCAAGAAAAAGGGGCTGGCCCCTATATTCAGGGGACAGCAGGTCATAAAAGTATTTTTTGGATAGCTAAAAATATTAAAATATTATGAAAAAGTTTGAAGGACATAATTTCTAACATATTAAATCTTGTCATGTGGTATAAAGAGAAACAAGCTCCGTGTTATATTTTATTCTATTTTAGAAAATAATTATTCGAGAATCGTACAGGAACAAGTTGTCTACAAACCAGCCACGCCTTTTAGGGCATCGTAACACATGCTTGTACGGATTTAGATTTAGATTTTATGTTGTGTTTTAAATAAATTGTTTTGATTCGATTTCTCTGTTTTCTATTATATAAATCGTTTATAAATGCAAGTGATTTACAAGTAAAGGTAAATCAACATTTACTAATGCATCCGTATAGAAAAAGTCGTAATCGGGGCCTCTTTGTTTGTAACCTGGATGTAAACAATCACGAGCGGCATTGTGGGAAGAAGACACTAAAGACCCGATATACGAAAAACGTGATTTGATCTGATGCTTTGTTGGCAAATATTTCAAAAAAAGTGTAGTTTAGTATAGCATAATGCTTCATAATCAATAATTTTTAAAAATAAATCATGTATAACACTCAATCTGATTATTTTATTTTTTGAAAAATCATCAGGTCGAATATCAGGTCTTTAGTATATCAAGTCTTTAGTACGTCCCCGGAAGTAGCCATGCAAGTCGGAATTACAGACAAAAAATGAGAAGAAAATATGTGAAGTTGACAGTTGTACATTTTCTTAACGTACGAGCCGTATGTAGACATAAACATTTAATCCACATCTACGAAGCACATAAAATCCTTGGTTGCGTACTGGGAGCATTAGTTTTAAAGGGATATGTATATTCTTGCGCAAATTGTTTACGAGGAAATTCTGATGATCACATTAACAGCGATGAACAGTCTTGTGTCGGAGTTTTCTGTGATAAATGTAGCGAGTGATGAAAGAGTTCACGGCGACATTTTAATATATGATTGGCGTGGATCTTGGAAATGAAGGTTAGAATTTTTCTTATCTAAAATTTAACAGCTGCTTACAGCACTGATGTTTACATGTATATGCCAGCAAATGTATAAATGTACGCACAAACACTGATGTATGTTATCTATTTTATGGTTCAGTCTCTGTCTGTTAGCCCTGACATGACATTGTCAAAATCCCCATTGCTTTACCTTATATTTAAATGCATGAGAGCATGTAATTTCACCAAGACTGAATATTTTTTTTATTGAAACAAAAAAATGCAAAAATTCAACAATACACTATCTAACATACTACATGTATAAACATAATAATTATTGTTATATATTCTTCAACAAGTATGAATAGCTGTTATAACTAGGGCCTTAATTAATATTATAATTTGTTATACCTTCAAAAAATTGTTCCTATATAAATCTATACCAGTGTACACTTAAAATGTCTAACATTTCCAATATTTTATGAGCAATCATAAAAAAATCTATGTTGAACCGCAAAGTGAGATATTGAACCTGTCGATGAGATCATTGGACTGCTTACATATTACAGTATGTGCGGGATTAGTTATAAATCTCATATTTGCATTCGTTGGTGTTCAAAAGTTACGGAATTGACAGAGTTTTACCTCAGTGCTGGTAAAGGAAATTTACATCACGGAAGCCAGTACAAAATACATGTATGTCAAACAAAAAAAAGAAAAGAAAAGATATAACAAAACATTTATTGACCGTGTTCTCGGGGTAAAATGCAATTTGCTGACCCCTTGAACCTAACTGTTTCCCTTCGGCCTAATGGCCTCAGGCAAACAGTTTGGTTCTTGGGTCTGACAAAACACATGTTGCCCTCGAACCCAGTTAGTAAATGTGTATTATTATTGGAAAATGTCACTCAGTTAAATTGCAAAAGAAATTTGGAAATATATTTATACATAAAAGTTTGAATTATTTCTGTGATAAGACTGCAGGATTGGTTTGTGTTTTGTTTATATTGCCCCTTCAAATTTTTTTTAGTCATGTTATTATGCCACCACTTGCTGGTGGAGGCCTGCAAATATTTAAGATCTGTACTTGACACTTATGGCCTTTGGGATGTGAGGGATCTTTTTTGTGCCAGCACCTTCTGTGACACAGAACCTCGGTTCATACGGTTTCATCCGAGGAACCTATCTCCACATCCAGCTGTGGGATTCAAACCTGCGACGTAAGGATCAGCTTCTTACTGACACTTTGATTTATTGTATGTTGTTTTACATCTTACTTGAAAAATTTCTCTCGTATAGAGACATTACCACATACTGGTGAAGGGCTTCAAACATAGACCTTAATACTTGGCACTAAGGCCCATTGAGCATTGAGGGTTCTTTATTGTCCCAACATCTACTGTGAAGTTTTTAAGGTCTCATCTGAAGAACCTTTGACTTTCATTCTAATGCTGGGCGCTTGGTGAAGGAACCTTCACTACCTATGTGTTTATGTCTTAGGTTTGACACAGCAAATGAGAATCAAGCCCAGGCCTCCTGATTATAAAATGAGTGCCCTACAACTAGGCTACCATTGCAGATAATGAACTAGATTAATTACTATGTAAAACATTGTTTAGTAAAAATTAGTTCTTGAAATTAGAAAATAGAATTTTTTATGATTGGGGTATGTAAACTTAGAGTGGTATTTGGGTTATACAGTAAAACACGCTTACTGCGAACAGACTTAAATAAGGAATTGAAGCGTATAGTGAAGTGATTTTCATTCCCTGTGGTTTTAAAAATGTACTGAAAACTAAACTGAAAAATGAATACATTTATAGATGCTTTTATGGATCGCATGTATATGTGTACCCCCTCGGCACATGTTTGGCATTAAAAAAAAAACTATCCTCTGCCACCTTCAAGAAAACAACAATTTTCAGAAATATGTAATTTAGTCTAATTCTTCTCTAAATAAGTTTATTGATGTATGCCATTTTCAAAACTCACCATATTTCTTTTATTTGACTCTTTATTCATTTAGGTAGAGAGACCTAAACACAAGGGGAGTAAACCTTTCCCAGTACACATTTTCAAAGAGTTTGAAGCATCAGTATAACAAATCTTAACAGAGTAAGGCAATTTTTGTCTGAGAAAAATTTATTTGTTTGAAAATAATAGTTTGGGCACTGTCACATATATTTTATCAAATTTTGATGCAATCACTTAGTATTAATTAAAATTAAAGGGGCTCAGTTATTGCGATATCGCTGAAAATACAAATTATAAACTTACTCTTTTTTACATGTATTTTCACTAAATATCATTATTTTGAAAAAAGAATGAGTCAGTATGCAAAAATGTCTGTTCACAGAACCACATTTATTCAAAGAATTGCTGTTCTTTAATTTTTTTTTCAAATTAGACCCATCTTACTATTGATGATTACATAAAAAAAAATACCCCCCTCCCCTTCATTTTCCCCCTCATTTGTCTTCTATAATGTGATAGAACTTAAACTTTTCATTATTTTCATATAGATTATAGATTTTTCTGTAAATTATAACAAAACAGATGGTCTTTTTGTATATTTAATGAACAAAATATCAGAAATATGTACATTTTCATGTAATTATTGGATTCTACTAAACACCTGAAATTTACTCACAAATGCCAAGTAAGGACAGGATGATCACTTTAAATATTCAGGGGAATCAAATGCATGTATTTGATCACTCAGATACATTGAAATTGAATGGAAATATACTCAGAAAAAGGACAGTCAGTAAAATCAGATTTCCACAGTATATTCTCTATAGAATCAGGTAATGGTTGGAGGGGTAGGGTAGATAACTGCAATTTCCAGGACACTTCTTCTTGAACCTCTGATGCAAGAGGGGTTT